TCTATTTCACGCGTCGCCTTCTTGATTTGTGGGTCAGGGGAGGTTTTGTTTTGAAATGAGTCGGCCGAATTCGCTCACGACGCGTGTATATACGGGGCGTCTCCCCTATACAGAAGGGACGAGTCTCTGTTGCATTTATTTATTTACGGTTTAACCAATTTACAAAACTTTTACATTCATCGAAGGCAAAGAGAGAAAGACAGAAAAAACCAGAACAAAATGTAACAGTAACAATAAATAGAATTAAGCACTCAAACGGAACACATCAGAACGAAATGAGCGGAGGCTACCGATAAAAGGATCATGCTTTAAACAGTTGCACGCTTTCAGCATTCCAATAAGAGGTGAATAAACTCCATAATTTGCTCAATGGTAAATTTTGCGAAACATTGAGTTATCACAGCTTCTGTAATATGTGTTAAATTGTATGCTACGTAAAGAGCTGGACAGAATCTTAAAGAGAAAAACTAAATCACTCTGAGATCTTCTGGTTTGAAGAGTATCAATAATGAAGGCCTTAGCTATAATATTGTAGTTGATCTGATACCCATTATAGATATTGATATACGCCTTTGAAGCCAAAGATCTTAAAAATACTTTCTGAACGGCTTCGATGTTATCTATATGGCAGGCATAATATGGAGACCATACCACAGATGCATACTCCAGTCTAGAGCGAACCAAAGAGATATAAAGGAGTTTAAGGCAATGTGGAGTAAGTTGGCCACTACTGCATACAACAAACCCAAGGACTCGCATAGACCTGTTTACCACTTCCGCAAAATGTTTCACAAACAAAAGAATCGAAGCAAACACTCAAGTCTTTAATACTAGTGACGGCCTCGATCACGACTCTATCAATGCTATATTGGTTGTGAACCATACTCAACGAACGACTAAAGCTAATACTACAGCATTTCTTTACATTGAACGCGAGACTTTTAATCTTAGACCACATGCAAACACTGTCCTCTGAAGCAGCAGAGCTTCCTCGCGGGATCCAACCCTCCTGAATATTTCCAAATCATCCGCAAACAAAAGACACGGCGATTCCGAAACTACACTAACAATATCATTTACAAACAAGTTAAAAAGGATGCGTCCAGTGTGAGAACCTTGGGGGATTCCCGAAAAAATATCAATTTTACCTGAGACATAATTATTAATACGAACCAACTGAGTACGACCAGAGAGAAAACACTGAAAGATGCACATGACCCACCCAGTCAAACGCCATCGAGAAATCGGTGTAAACACAATCCACCTGACCAAACTCCTCAAAGGCGTTCAATAGGAATTGTTGGTAGGTGAGTAAATTTGTTACGGTAGATCTTCCCTATACAAATCCATGCTGTTGATCGGCCAGAATTCCCCTGCAATGCCACGAAAGTCTCTCACAAAATAACCTATCTAGCACTTTACGAACCACCGACTGTATGCAAACGCCTCTATAATTAGCGACATCGCTTTTATCACCACTCTTGTGACTCGGTACCAAATAGCTAACCTTCCAAAAGTCAGGGAAAATACCTGAAAACAAGCACAGGTTAAAAATATGCTGTGGGGGCCTACTCAAAGTACACACACAATTCTTAATCAAGACTGATGGAATCCCGTCTGGGCCATGCGAAAATCCAGTCCATAAGTTCATAATACTCTCAAACACATCAGTAAATGAAACACTCGTGGAATTAAAGTCTAAACTATAGTCAAAACTATAATTAGCAATCACATCCTCCCACTTAATATTGGAGATTCCTTAAAATATTATATCGGGTATGGCCACTCGGATTTGCATTGTAGTTTCTGTAGCTTTGTTTTCCTTTGGTGCCACGCATGCACCCTGTATAAAATGTCTTTCAAATAAGCACTCGCCAAACTTCAAAGTCATGTGAAACACAGTTTAAACCACACTATCCCATTTTATACAATTTTTAGTTACTAATAATTTACCCACGAAAGCGGCAATTTCCAGGGTCTTTTGAGTTTTTTATTCCCATAACCGACACACCCTATAACATAAAAATGCTCAATCATATCCAATAGATCAAATGGTTTTTGAGAAAGATTTATTTTCCCGAATTATAAAGGCACCATGCATCATCGCATCCAGTTTGAGTCCCCATTTTTATGATTTTATTATTTAGGGATAATAATGTACCCCTGAAAAGGGAAATTTTCAGCGATCTTTTATTTGATGCTTACAACGTTAATTTCGGTTCAAGGATTTTTCGAAAAAAAAAATCAAAAATGGTGTAAATGTTTTGTCCGATTGCGCCTAAGTTTTGTAGACTTTTACCTCTATGCCAAATTTGCACTTTTTAACACAACACGATATATCTCAAAAACGGTTTTGAAAAAAGAATTGTTTTTTTTTTTGTTTCTGAAAAAAAAAGTTTTTAATTTTTTTTTCAATACTTATCCATCGCCCATCCCTTTCAATGTCAATAAGTTCCGTTAGGAGCCCAAATTCTACAGTTCTGCTCAATTTAAGATCTATAGCTTCAAATTTCGGACAATTACTTTGTTTCATAGTAAAATCGAAAAATTGACAAAAAGTCCATTACCATTGGCTTGTGCGGTCGAATCGGGTTCATATTTCATTTTCCAACTACTATTTTGAATGCATTAAAGCGTAAAAGTTTCAAATGGTTGTCGAGTTATAGCGGAACAGAAACAGAAATAGGAAATGAAAAAAAAATGTTTTCGACGCTGATCATTTCTGCACCAAAGCCTACCGCTACCGAGATATCAAATTTAGTGAGCAATGCGTATACTTTCGCAAATAAGCGATTTCATCGACTGGGTGAGCTAAAAAGAAAACCAACCACAAATGGACAAATACGTGAATTTCCTTCATTGGAAAATGAATGTCTGCATTATTATTTAGAGTAATTTTTATTGTGTTTAGTTTACCTAGTTGGTACACGTCATAAAAGCACATAAGAGCGGTCTTTGATCGCTTTTAAAGTGATTTTAATTTAATTTTCTGTAAATTCTATAAACAGGAGAGTTCATAACCTATAATTTTTGGGCCCCATGGTGATGTGACACTAAGGTGTCGGGCTGTGTGCGTAGGTTTTCTGTAAACAGAACGATCCAATATTTGGTCTGATTTTCTATTGATAGTAATTAGGAATGGGAGATTATTATTAGTTTCCAATTCAATGGTAAAAAGTATGTTAGGGTGTATAGAGTTTAAATGGCTAAGAATGTCTCGGAGGCTTCCATAAACATATTCGCGATGACTGGTGATAATGGAGAACCCATAGCTATTCCCGACATTTGTTCAAAAATTTGACCGTTATAAGAAAAATTATATTCCAGACAATTAAGACGATTAAGGTGAGAAGGTTTGGTTCCAGATTCTCGGATTTTAATATATCTGAAATGATGTGTTGAGAGTTTCAGGAATAGGAACTTTGGTAAAGAGGGATTCTACGGAGAAACTAACTAGAATATCTTGTGTATCTAATTGTTCAATGAAGTGAAAGGAATTAAGTACGAAACGATCAGTTTTCCCTCTAAAGAGTTTTAATACGGAAACTAGATATTTTGCTGGAGAATATGTTGGAGTACCAATGGTGCTGACAATAGGTCGAAGGGGTAATCCTGGTTTGTGAATCTTTGGGCGTCCGTAGACACGAGGAATTTTCTGTAAGAGTATCTTGAATATTTTCCTGATATTCATTTGTGTTCATGACCTCCTTTATCTGCTTTATCTGCGATGTCTGGATTAGATTTTAGAGATTTAAGAGCAATGCGTTCAGGCTTTGCAATATTGGATTTAGCAGGTTTTGTTTTTTCAAGGATTTTTGCGGTCTCAAATCGAATTTCATTAGCTGTTTGAGGTGGCAATTTGATTAGGATAGACTCAACATTTGAAGCGATTTCCTTACGTGGGGCAAGGATGACACATTTATTACAGTGTTTGGTAGTTGAGAATAGTTTGATGGTCTTCCTAGTGTTGACGTTAGTTTTTTAAATTTCTGAATGTGATTTTGGGTAGTAGATAAACGAAGATTTAAAGCCTTGTCATGAATCATGTTTAAAAGGGTATCGAACTCGGGTGGGGACAAGATGGAAGAAATTTCAAAGTGTTGAGCCAGAAGAGCCTTATTGATTGGGTCTATTTCGTTACGGGTATGATGAATTCTTTCTCGAAGTAAAGCGAAACTAGATTTTCGAAGAATTTTAAAAGCGGATATCTATAAACAACCTAACAATCTTAACCGCGGCTCACCTGTCACCAATATGAGAATCAGCCATCCGAGACGGTGTTTATGCCGTTCATTTAGCTACGCCCCACCCCCCTAAAAAAACAATATATAAGCACGTACAGTTTCAGTCAAGCTCTGAAGAAGTCAACAGGATGATGGGCGAAACGTCAGCACGTTCGACTCAGCAAAAACCGATGCGGGAGGAATCCAGAAGTTTTATAAAAAGTAACAAAAGTATCATCTGCGTAGCGTTTCCATAATTTTGGTTTTAGACGGAAGGTGTCGAGAGCTTTCTTGTCAAAGGCTTCTGTAAATATGTTTGACTGGTGCCAATGGAGAACCCATAGCTGTTCTCGAAGTTTGTTGAAAAATTTGACCATTATAAGAAAAATATCTTCCAGCAAGCATTTTTTAATTAAGATGGGAAGGTTTGATTCCAGATTCTGGGATTTTAATATATCTGAAATAATGTAGAGAGGTTCAGGAATAGGCACTATGGTAAAGAGGGATTCTACGTCGAAACCAACCAGAATATCGTGTGGATCTAATGTCATGGTTCAGTGAGATGAAACTGTAAGCTTTACTTGTAAAAGGTTTTAATATAGAAGCCAGTTAAGTTCTGACGCAGCGAAAAAGATTATTGTCGAGACGTCAACAAGATTTGTAAATATGATTTTAATTTATTTGACCCCCACCCAACGTGACGATTTACCAAACATTTTGTAGAAATACGAAATTGTTTTTCGATGCTATCTGCGGTTTACAGTATTCCAACGGCATTATCTGTTCACCTGCAACATATTCGAACTTGCGAGACACTTCAGATATCGGTCTCTCGTCGGTAGAAGTGCACGCTATCAGCTATACCCTAAACAATGGATATAATATTATTACTATTTTTCTGCGGTTTGTGCCGCTTCGCCTTAACCACCACCGTCAACTCCTGTAAGTAAAAACAGAACAAAATCATCTCCATTAACCTGTAAACATTTCAGGCAGCGGGTCGAAGGGCTTACAACCCAACGCCACGATATCCATAGGGTATTTGGAAAACGAATGCTTGTCGACCCCGTGCGAGGTTATATTGGGATGCTCGATTATAATGACGACCAAATTTAACTCGCGTAAGTCGAATTGTGACCTACAAATGCGGACGGACGCGAGCCTTACGATGGGTTTTAGCGAGATATTTGGAAGACCTCACCCCGAGGATACACGCGAGCGCCTTGGGTGCCGAATTGGACTACCCGCTGTTTCAAAACAATGCCTGTGACGGTATAATCAACACCCAATGTCCCATCGTTAAGGGCGAAAAAGTCACGTATCAATACACGATGAATTTGTTTAACGTTTTTCCCGAAGTAAGCTGTCCATTTGCATTTAATTACTTTTAGTTACCACTACACAGTGGTGCAGATATTGTGAAACGTATAATTGAATAGAATCACTACGACTGGTGACGATATTGGCCGAAAGACCCGAGGCACCGGTGACGAAAACCCGAAAGCGATCGAAACATTTATGCAAATAAAGAGAGAGGTTAAAATACAAGTGTAAATTAATTTATAAAATGCGGTTAAATTATTTTACTTTGGTTAATTATCTATATAGATGGTTTCCACTATACAGTAGAGGTTACTGGATATGATATAAAGAACAACAATTTACGCTCTTGTTTAAGCTGAAAAAAACTTACAACTTCAATTAAACATACTACAATGAAGGTGTAGATAGGTATTTCAATTGCACCTAAGGGATTTAAATAGTGAGCGCTGTTCTTTTCTAAAATTTTAATGCAATTTCAATTTTTTCATTCTTTTTATCTTGATAACTACTTAGGTAACTTTTACGTTTTGATTCTTGGGTGTGCTAGGTAGCCGGTTAATTTTTTGCATAATCCAAAGTGTTCTAATTGACAACCATATCCTCAAAATAGTCGCAGCTGAAATATTGGATAAAGATATTGATAAATCATATTGCTTATTGAATAAATTTAAAAATCATAAATAATTTTAGCTGTGAGAACAATTGGGCACACGTTTTTATTAACCTTTCATGATTCGTGATAATCGCCGTATGCAATTTTCCGAGTAAAAGGTACCTAAATACAATTACACTATGACCGCAATGATGAGAACCTTTAAACAAAAACATTTATGATAGGTTTGGCTTTTTAATTAAAATGCAACCGAATCTTTTAAACCGGGTCACTGTAAAAATTCACAGATGTATGTTAAAAACATTGTAATGTAAACAAATCATAATTAATCTCTATCGAGGAAAATTCTTTCTCCACGGAAATGCTTTGCCGACCTCCCTCCCGCGCTGCCTCGAACGCCCCGATACGATTTAGACAAATGAACATTTGGACAAATACGGCCATCTCGGTTAAACTTGATGCAAATAATATAAGAAGTGTTTTCTTACTTAAAGCAAATTTAACAATAGAAAAAGACGACTAGTAGTGAGAATTCTTGTATTTCTGTATTTCTCTTGCCCATTTATATATAGGCGAGAATGGATCTTGCATTTCTTCGATTTTCTTTAACTATATGTAAAAATTTAAATCTGTAATAACTTAAATTAAATTAAATTTTTAAAAATCCCAAAAAAAAAGCATTCAATTCAAAATATTTAAGTATTTTTAGGAGTTTCATGTCCTAAATATGATAATTTAAACAATAAAATCTCACAAAATCTGTTTTTTTTTGTTGCGCAGAGAATTTCGCCTTGAACGTACTCACAAAAACACTTTGTACGATTGACATTAAATCTTGACAGTTAAGTACGACCCATCGTTTTTGTCATGTTTGCGACTCTGCAGGGATTATGGCTAAAATTATTATTTTTTTTTAGGTAGCCGTAAATTTAGAGATATCGATAATCGATAACGACGCGGAGGAAGATGTCACTTGTTTCGTGGTCGACATAAACGTCAAAAAGTCGACATGTCCAGCGAAACCCGCAACAGCGCAGTGATTGATCCCTTTTGAAGGCATCGCAAATTTTTGCACGTACCGATAGATAGAAATATAAACGTAGCTGACCAAAAATGGTTAATACTAAATTTTATACAACAATTACGAGAGAAAAAAAGCTCGGCTCTATAAATTAACAAATGTCGCCCACCCGAAAATTGTCTAATGACATTTCGAAACGATGCGGCCCGATAATAAAAACGGAAAGTTTTCTAAGCGTTTAATTAAAAATGAAATTAATTCGGAGAAATTTTAATATAAATCCCATAACTTAGAACCGCGTAGAAAATTACGGGCCACATGGGCCATACGTGGCGACTTTTTGATAAATTATGGACGATATTTTATTATTATGTTAGAGCAGTTTTGCTGGTTAATAGACTGGCGTTTTTAATAGACCATAAATGCGCAGCTCAACGGCGTTTCCGACACAAATGAAACTCTTTTGGCTTACTGCAGAAGAAATTTTGATTACCTACTGATTAGTTTGAATAAATGTAATAAACATGTACCGGGCTTTCGGACGTACATTTTTGTAGTCACCCTACAGAGTCACTATATCAGATAAAACAAAATACAAATACGAACATTTTCTGCTCCAAAAATTATCAAAACGTTTCAGCCGATGTCAAACTTTGATGCTTGTCAATCTTAAACCAAAATTATACTGGCACCGAACCATCTATATTTCTAAAAAGCATTCACCTGTCGAAACGTGATATTTATTAAAATATTTGCCCATTTCAAGTCAATGACTTCAAAAAACTTGGCGAATTCGCCAGATTGTCAACAAAACTGATTTATGGCAAAATACTAGTAATTTCTCCGTTCTGTGCATCGAATAATACAGAGTAGCCCACAATCAATGACCTATTACAAGTATCTCTCGAACGGACCTATAATTTTATTTGGAATTATATGTTATTTCACTTCTATGTTCCATGCAATAAATAAAGTTAGTTTTGTTCAGTGTTTCTTTCTCAAACTTTGCACCCCGCAAAAAATGGTTTGATTTTAAATGATTGAATAATATCGGTACTGCAAAATCTAACCTAAAAATGCATTTAGGTAAAGATTCACAACTAGGCATTTTTAAGGTTGACATTAATCATAAACCGCGATAAATTCGTTTCTATTTTGTGCGCACAAAACTAACCAAATTAGTACTACTAAAACTCGCGTCGTGGTCTTTTTCCATCCGACGTGAAATCTGAGGCCGGTTCTCAAAACCGCACGGCCACACACAGTATTTTTGGGCTCTAATAAACCGGTCATTTGGTGACCTTTTTCATATCAACCGATATAACTCAACTAACAAATCACAACGAAATTTTTACCGTACTAATAGGACAATTCGTATGTAAATGCGCCCGCGCGCCTTTGGTCGACCCATACGTAGATGCTCTTGTATTTCTTTTAATGCCAGTGACGTGCCACTAATAAAGGAACGATTGCCTCCGCCAATTAATCACACTATATAATTGACTCTTATTACGAAGGTAATTCATTTGTCCAGTCATTTGTCCAATTCATTTGTCCAGAAGAAGTCGTAGTTTATTGTTGGTCAAAAACCAACGAGATTTATTTCTTTCTAAACAGGTGGATGAGTTGGTCAGTTGGGCCAACACAAAAGTCATAGAATATGTATCTGTCTGTGACCGCAATTTAAAAAGCCTTTGCCAACAAATATTGTGAAACGTATGATTGAATAGAATCAATATGACTGTGACAATATTTTACGATTGACACTTGTACACTTGTGTGGATGTAATTATGAGGTTCAAGAGAAAAAAAAATGCCCAGCAACATCGAAACGTCACCTTCGAAAGGGCGTCCTCGTTTATCAAAAAGTTCGGTAGATACCATATTGACCGACGACAGTTCCCTTTTATGAGATGGTTGGACGGCTGAGCAGGCACCTATGTGGGTGCCGCCGCTGCTTTACGTTTAAAATAATATTTCCAGTTTTTGTGGCACTTACAGAATGTGTCGCGTTATAAATAAGGGTATAAAAGCACCTGGACCGGCGTGTTACCACAGCGCATTATTAATATTAAATTTTATGTTATCTTTTTGTAAAACGATTCGGATTTGAACCGGACGCCGCATACCGCAGACGATTTAGAATATTCGGTAGCAGCCGTAATGGCGCGATAGGTCTTTTTTTATACGTTAAGTGGGTATATCGTGCATGTGAAATGTGGGAAACACTAAAATAAAATTATTAGTTATTATTATTGTTAATGTTAAGCTCCGATTTGTTGTTAAAAAAATGATGGTTTTAATAACAAACTAACCTTGGTATTCTGTGATTTGTCGACATTCACGGCGTTTTATGAGATCTGATACTTGTTATTGGCAATAAGAGGTTTTTTTTTTTTAATTACGCTTTATTTGGCCACTGCTCAATAAGAGGTTATATAGGTATTCTTCGTCGACATAGCCTAAATAAATATCCAAAGTCTGTGGTATTAAGGATCTGTGACCTTCTTGTATTGAAACAATGTACATAATCGTCGTTAATAAGATAGCACGCATGCTTTCCGCGTCAAGTTGGCGTTTATATACGTTAGAATGATTTACCGCAACTATCTGTACGCAACGGGACAAACTTATCCCGCGAACGGATCGTATTACGTACGTAGATAATTGCGACGTGGTCATTTTTCAAGTCGCGAGAGACAAAAAGTCATGGGAAGAAAATAATTATAAATAAAGTCGCAGAGACGCGCGTGCAATTGATTCTCGTCGTTCTCGGCGCTCCACATGAACAGGCGAACGCACGATAGCACGGAACAACGTAAATAAATGAAATTCCGGCGGATGAGTATCGCACCTGCGTCCCGTTGGGAAAAGTCATCTTCTTAACGCCCACGCGGAACGAGCGAGGCCTTATTTTCTGTCGGAGTATGTACAATTTTAACGCAAGGATTTTGCTTAGGGACAGCGACATCGACTGATTTAATCATTGCATTCTACCAAGCTGTTATAAATGGTGCCTGCAGCGCTTAGTTGTTTCAGTTTCGCAATAAAACACTCCAATAAATAGATAAATCACTATCATATGGGTGTCTTTAAAAAATTTAGATGGTCATCATCACATATTGGCGGATGCGACTTTTTTTTTTGTTACGATAAGTTTTCTATAGTTAACGCAATCGTGACTAATAAATATTTCCATTTGCCAACAATTGATTCCGTTTTATCATTTTATGGGCAGGGAAAAATTTAAAATTCGGAATTCGATAACAATTTGCTGACAACTCGCCTAACATAAAAAAGAAGAAGATTATTGTTTGGTTAGAATCTTAACCTGTATAGTCTTTTTGGTTAGAATGTCACAAAGAAAACAAGTTTCTAATTAGTTTGATCTTGAAATTAAAACTCATGGAGGAAGCTTTTACCAAAGTTGTTTCGCATGTATTCAACAATTGGACAGCTTTGCGATTGGCCGTCGAACATTCGACGGGGGGACCTAATAGCAAACAGACCGCCTTGGAGTGTTTACACTACATGGTTCAGTTTTGTCTAAACGAACCGAATATTCAACCCGAAGGTATTCAGGAGGCGTTAGAAGACATATTGGACGAGGAATTTGAAACGATTTGCGAAGATGACTCACCAAAACAAATCGCTGCTGTCTTGTATACATTTTTAATGTTGCTAAAAGACGGCAGGTTTGAAGAATGCGAGAACGAGTACGAGAAATTGCCCACCGCGAACGCGGATTGGCTCAATCAACAAATTAAAACGCAGAATTTAATGGTACAAGAGACTTCTAGTGAGAGTGAGGAAGATGCGTTAGAAAATGCAGAGATGGAACAGGATGGGTGGAAAGAAGTAAAATCGAGACGTAAGAGATAGGTTTTTTCAATAAAAACATGTAAACAATTTTTTTTATTTCTGTTTGTGATATAAGCTTTACAAATCTTTACTTAGTAAACACTTTCAGGAGAAACATTTAGATCAATATGTTTTCCTTTCCTGGAAATTGATAACTTCAGGGTTGGTTTCTCCGTCTGTTTTAAAAGGCCATAAACCTCGGTGGCGCTTTTGATTTCTTTTCCATCAATGTGTGTCACAATATCACCAGGTTGGATACCCCCACTATGCAAATACACTTGGTTACTAAAAATCATATTAAGTAATACAGAAGCATACTTACGAATAAGCAGGAGAGCCAACAACGACCTTCCAAACCAAAACTCCACCCTTCAAATCACTAGGGATGGTAATTTCCTGCCTTTGATGCAACTCATTTATTATCTGTGGGGTTAATGTAATCATGGTGATTCCTAAATACAACCTTTTCAGAGAATCTGACGGCTTCTTGCTTCTAGTTAAAAACTGCTTAACATAATCTATTGGAATTGCGAAGGAAATACCGGTTGTTACTTTCATGCTGTTAACCCCAATAGCTTCACCATCCAAATTAACCAGAGGCCCTCCAGAATTACCAAACGTAATGGCCGCATCAGTTTGGATGTAAACCATGTCTTTTCCCCTAAGACCCAGTTCATCAGACCCTCTTTGGGTTGAACTGACCACACCAGAAGTAACTGTATTACTCAAAGCTAAGGGACTACCAATGGCGACCACAAACTCTCCTGGTTTTAAGTCTGCTGAATTGCCAAGTTTCATCACTGGCAAATTGTTTGCAGGTATCCTTACGGTCGCCAAATCGCTTTCCATATCAACATCTTCTACTACTCCATTGAAAACGCGGCCGTCCATTAACCTAACCTCGACTTTTGCCGAGGGTTTGTTGGTGACTACATGGGCGTTGGTGACGATTAACCCATCCGGTTTTACTATGAACCCCGATCCATTTGAAATAGTAAGCGGGCGACCAGTGAAAAAGTCTGTTCTTCTTGAATCCTTTATTTCTATGTAGACAACTGAGGGTGCCGAACTCTCCACTACATCTGCGATAAAATTGTATTGCTTTCGGCGACCAGATAAATGACTTCCGCTAAATATCTCCGCTGCATGCACTTGGGGTATGAAGGACAATCTATTTTTCATTATTTTATACATCAAGCATCCCGAAGCGAGAACCAAAAAACATTTGACATGGTTAAGTTTCTTGCGAGACTCATTTTCCAAAACTGCCCGAAGGCTAACCGGACAATCTTTTCTGGGGGCTGGCGAAAGTGTGAAACGAAACGCGATTTTATTTAAAACCAGCCTTCTCAAAAGGGATGACATTAAATTGCAATTTATTTTATTTACAATTCAAAGGTTATTCTTCTTCTTTTACTTCTGTTGGCCAGGACTGGTAGGTAATACACGGTTTTTTTTAATAACTTCTTGAATTTCACCATAGAAAAAAAAATTGTAAATGCGAATATGAAAGAAGAATTTTTCCCTTAGTTTGGAGGGTGATGGATTCGTCCATTTCTTTTTAATTAAGGCATCCTTCAGGTGATAAAGAAAATGTTCAACTATAGTTGCAAGTGGCCGATTCATCTTAGCAGTATTCGTCAATAGAAGGAAAGAAAAATAAGAAACGTCAAATGCCGATTGCGCAGAACCAAGAGTCGCAAACCTAATAGGATTGCCTAATCCGCCAAATCTGTCCGCAAGTGCAATGCGAAAACTCTCGTTGGCTGTGACGTAGGTGAAGTACTGTATTGGCGCGTTTACTTGTAAATGTATGGCAATAACCTGAAACTGACCCAAATTTTAATGGACTTTGAGTATTTGGAGTAGCTAATATAGCATTTTGTTTGGATAATCTCATTATTTTCATTTAATGTCAACATTAAATCGTTTTAGTACTTATTTAATAATTATTGGGAAGTAGCGTAGGGTAGGGTCTCAGGTAGGGTAAAAATAATACTATTGCAATCAAGTTTGACTTATATGTATTATCTTGAAATACATATAGTAATTAAATATTGTTACACATAAGTACATAAAACTAGGGAACAAAACGATTTACTTGTAAAACTTTAGTGTTTTACAGCATTCTACCATTTTAAATATACAAAAATTAACAAATACTTATAAACTACAAATCCCTATTTAATATATAGGTATTAAAGACCATATTAAAAAACAAAAGATATATTAGGCATACATAACAACTATTTATAGGTGGTAGGTAAATAATATGTATTTATATGTACCCTCGTATGTACATAATATAAAAAATACAATTACAATTTTACCATACTTTCTAATTTTTTATTTTTTTTTTATTTGGGGTTCGGAGATGCGTTCTGGTATGGGTTCTGGAGATGGATTTTTCTCTAGAGTTTCACTTGTGGCATTCGATGTTGTTGCTAAAAGCTCAGACAATACCTGCCGAGCTTCTTTTTTGGCATTTTTGGAATGAAGTCTTTTTGATCTAGATAATCCTGCTTCTGTTGGTGGCTTGTGGTTAAATAATAATACGGTGGGAACAGCAGTTTTTTTTTAGAATCTTTTTTAAAGGTAAACCTAAAATTTAAATTTTGTGGTGAATTTAATGTGTTACTTAAGACAAAAAATTCCCAATAACTCATTTTGTAAGTCTCTTTGGTAATCATTTTCAGTAAAATGAACTGAGTAGACATAGCTTTTATTATTATAATTGAGTTTGTCCCCTCTTCTACATCGAACTATCTACTCGTTCCGAATAGTTCAGGATACTAAATATTTCCCTTTGGGAAAACGATGAAAACTATATTTTTCAGAACTTGCTTTTTCATCAAAATAGTTGTTATTGCACCCATACATGTCACATCTCGTTCCAGACATACCTAACTATTTTTGGATGGAAAAATTGCATCATTTGAGAAAATTTTGTTCAGCACATCTTTTAATTGAATATGGATATGTATGTTGTATTGCTCAGTTTTCGGATGTCTCATATTCACACTGGTATCCAGACCATATCTGATTGGATATCCCGTATGAGATAATCGCTGGAACCGTTAGATGAATTATTCCGCTGTATGAATATGTTATTAAACCTGGAGGATGATGGAATAGTCCAGACGCTTTCTTTATGAAGGCATCCTTTGGGAATTTTGAATTATATTTACCAATATTTGTAAGCTGACCAGATTGAGTGGCAGGGCCAAACAAACCAGTAAATAAAAAAAACTCAAATGCATGTAAATAACTATACAAGTACAATGAAAAATAATCTAAAATAATATTTTATTTAATATTATGCAACAGTTCTTTCATAATTTTGTCACATTTCGCCATATCGGCACGCTTGTTGGTTTTTATTGCCACCGCACCAAGTAAGGCCTGGAACACTTTGACTTTGCCCTTTAGGAATGCGGTTACCATTTTTTCATTTTCATCTATTACTTCTTGACATATTTTTCTTAATTCTGCTTCATCTACAATCTGCTTCCAGCCCTTCTCCTCAACAATCTAAAATCAAATCCATAACACCACTTTTAATGTTAATTGAGCTGAATACCTCGGAGGGAGCTTTCAAATTTCCCATAAACAATTCATCTAAGACCATTTTAGCAGTACTTCTATTAATTAGTGACCCTTCTAACATTCTTATTATTTCACCAATGTGCAATGCCCTAATCTGGCTAAAAATAAAAGAAGTAGCCACTTATAAAAGAAAATTTATGTTAACTTATTACGTATCATGTAATTCTACTTCAAATTTGTTGAGTGCCGTGTTAAGCTCATTGATTAAAAAATTTGCCAGGGTGGAAGCTCTAAATTTTTGCCCATTTAATGACCCAATGAACAGTTCTAACAAAGATGGATCATTCTAGAAAAGTAAAAGTTCAAACACTTAATATTACTTTAAACTTTTTTGAGACATACCACAAGAATTATGCACTGTTCTGCAGTTAAACCAAGCTCTTCCCTGAGCCTTATTCGAGTCTGTTCAGGCAACTCGGGAATCTTACTCTTTAAACTATCAATGTTAATAAAACCATCTCTAATAATAGGACCTACATCAAGGTGCAGGGGAGGTAAATTAGGTTCAGGCATATACCTATAATCCTGTTGCACCTCTTTATCTCTCATAGGGACAGTCACTCTATTTTCCATGTCCCAGGCACGAGTTTCATTAACTATTTCACCTCCGGATTCCTTTATTTTCATTTGACGCTCTATTTCGAATTTTACTGCGCCAGCCACTCCCCTAACTGAACCAATATTTTTTATTTCTGATCTAATCCCAAAAGGTTCACCATCTTGATGGATTGACACATTTGCGTCAACTCTTAATGCACCCTCTGCAGCAAAGTTCATTTGGAATACACCTCAAAAGCAAACAAAACAAGCAAACCTATATACCTTCCATCTTACAGGAGCAGGTATTGAGTCTTTGCAGTATAATTATCAATTCTTTAATAAGAGCAGCAGCTTCTTCTCCGTTTGTTAAATCAGGTTCAAACACTAGCTCCATCAGAGGCACACCAGCTCTATTTAAATCCACTAGACTTCTATCTGATTCATGCAGGCTTTTACCGCTATCTTGCTCTAATTGGACCTGCTTTAACCTCACATTTGTTTTATAGGGTTTCTGGACACCAGTAGTAAATACACTAAATTGTAAATTTCCATTCCTCGCCAATGGAGCTCTTTGTTGAGTAATCTGATAGCCCGCCGGCAAATCAGCATAGAAATAATGCTTCCTATCAAAATAAGAAATCGGGTTGATTGTGCAGTTTAAAGCAAGGGCCGTCAGCACACCGGCCTCCACACAACGTTTGTTTAAAATGGGTAACGTGCCAGGCGTAGCCATATCAAACAGGGAAACGTTAGTGTTTACGGGAGATAAAAATTTGGTAGCGGCACCTGAAAAGAGTTTACTTTCCGAAAATATTTGGGCATGGACTTCAAGGCCGACTACACTTTTCCATTTGCTAAAAGCAGGTTTCATTATTCTCGTTTTTGATCGGACCTATTTGGTACCTCTTGTTAATTGTAATCGAATAATATTGCTTAAGGGGTTGTATTTGAATCGCTTGTAAACTTTTATGTGACAAAAACATTGTGCAGCGAATATTCGTTTAGAAAGGTTATGTTGCAGTCATAGAAAGGAAACTTGTAATCTATAACACGAGCCGGTGCTACAAATACAGTTCAGTGTATTAAATTAAAATGAGACAGCACCAAATTATTGTTAATTAATTTTGTTGTTGGAAACTGACGATATAAAATGTTTGTATAATTGGGACACGTGAAGGAAGCCATGAAATTATCCAGCAAAGACCTTGTTTAATCCTACTTTCGACAAAATTATGGTAAGAAATCAAATGATATTAATTCTGTATATTGGATTTATTTTAATAATTTTCTCAACGCAAACTTCGAACCGTTAGACGGATTGCGTATTCGTTTTTCGTTTCTGTACGCGATACATGCTTTTAAAACACCACTTATGCTATGCCTGTACGTCAAAAAGAGAAATCGACAGAAGTGATCTCTCTTTTCCCAGATTTTACATGTTAAGAAATAACAGTATCGTGAGATTTTGATAACAAAACGTAAAAATTTGTCGAAAATGATTAAATTGTTTTCGTTAAAGCAACAGAAAAAGGACGGGGAGGTCACTCCTCGATCGGGAAATCAAAAAAAGCCCTCCGCAGCTCAGTTAAGAATTATGAAAGGTAGGTATATCATCTTTTCTGTAGTCTACGGGAAATAATTATGAATTTCATAGATATAAACGAGTTAAATTTACCTAAAACATGCACCACAGAGTTTCCAGATCCCGATGACTTGCTAAATTTTAAGTTAGTAATATGCCCTGATGAGGTAATATTCTTAAAACTTTTATATTCAAAGGGGCTAATGACTTTCTTTTAGGGTTTTTATAGGACAGGTAGGTTCGTTTTTAGTTTCAGAGTGGGTCCGAGTTACCCCCATGAGCCTCCAAAAGTGAAATGTGAGACCCAGATCTATCACCCAAACATTGATTTACAGGGGAATGTATGTTTGAACATTCTAAGAGAAGACTGGAAGCCTGTGCTTACCATAAACAGTATTGTCTATGGTTTACAGTACTTATTCTTGGAACCCAACCCTGAAGATCCATTAAATAAAGAAGCTGCTGAAGTTTTAACCAACAATCGAAGAGTTTTTGAACAAAATGTGCAAAAAGCAATGAGAGGTGGATATGTTGGCGGTGTTTGCTTTGAAAGGTGCTTAAAGTGATGTATTAAGGACAGAGAATAATGTGTGAATTCATGCAAAGGTTAACATTATGTTAAGGACTCTCTGTAAGTGTATATAATTATATGACGGTCGAATTAATATTTTGGGCTAATAAAATGACTGATTGTTGTTTCAGGCGGATATTAGTTTGCTCTATTTTGCTTCTGAAGTCAGTAAAAACAGAACTTATTAGTCAGGACTTATTTCCTAGCTAACAACTTATTGAGGTAAATTTCTGTTACTTAAATTAGCAACAAGTCATTAATTCGGCCTATGTAAAGATAAAGAAAGATTGATTTTTTACTTATATCTTTTTATAATTTTTACCTGAGACTCTAAAGGACTTGCAAGTTGCAACCTCAAAAATTATTTATTGTAAATTTTATGAAAGTTAACTGTAGCTTTTCTCGGGGGCTACATTGAATAATTGTCAACACAACATTGATTATCCTGCTAATTTATTTGTTGTTGAGTGTAAGATAGGGTAAAATTTTCTTAATAAAAAATAGCGATACGACTTTTATTTATTATGGTTACAAACTAACTACTTCTGGAAGGGATAATAATCAAGACCAGTATTAAACTGAAATTTGGGTTTTTCTAATTTTTTCGCCTGTCTCATCAATTCTTGTACCTCCTCCCTGTAGGGTGGTGGTTTATTTTCATCGTCCAATGTGCATTCAATGGGTTCAAACTCTTTCTTCTTATAAATCCTTCGTCGAATAATATCTACATCTCTACTATATTCATCTAACAAGTCTTCCACAGTGCTGGGCGGAACATTAAATAAAAATAAAAAGTAGCTTGCCTTGTTATATACGACACCGTGGACACTGGTTTTATAGGGCATATCTCGCGTACCCAAATTTTCTAGTTTGCGTATAATACCACCTTTGTTAAATATACAGTCTGCCGCTCTTCGAAGAACTGTTTTTAATTCGGGCTAAAAACGTGTGAAATTAAGAATGAAGAATTGTAATATAGGCCATTACCTTGGGTAGAACACGCAACAATAGCAGAAGCTCGTAGTTTATCATTTTTTAACCTTTAATGCCCCTATTCAATACGATAAATGATAAAATTCTTAATCACTGCATTACAAAACTCTGGTTAGTTCGACCACAGAATCAATGACATACGAAAAGAAGCGAATAACGGTAATTGGTTGACCATAATCCGTTGACGGCTCTTTTGCTTATAGATATTTTAATTGTCTGAAAATAAGCAAGGTTTTCTTAGTTTTGGCTAGTTTCTATTATTATGCAGTTAAGTTGATAGAGAGGATGCAATATATATTTACGCTATTATTTAAAAATACGTACGTGCGAGAGAGAAATAAAGTTCAACTTTGTAACATCAGAGTTAAGTCAAACGTTTACCGTTCTGTAAGAAAATGTACATACCATTGTTATGTACAGGTCGTTAAGGTAACTGTCGTCCTAATGTGGTTTATGTTAGAAATAAAAAAACTAATTAAGACATAATTTATTAATATTTACACTATATACAAAAAAAAATCACCGAATGTATAAAGCTGCAATACACATAACGACAGTCACATCACAACGTATTCCATTTCTTGAAACTCAGCTTCACTATAGGTAAATGCAATTTTTTAAGTTTCCTCCTATCAAAGATACAAAAGTTATATTAGTATAAATATTTACAAAATTTGTCTAAGTGTTCGTCTAAAATTATACAAATTGCATTATACTAGCACATTTGTTCACAGGTCCATAATAGCTCCTAATCAGTAATGCCTACGATTATATATATGAGATGATATGTACAAATTTCAAAACTATCTATCTCTGGGCTGGCAATTTCAAGCAACAGCCATCCTTCAACATCCGAAAACATTCATTCCCATAGCAGATCCAACTAATATTATTTAAATATTAATCCTCATCTACAACGAACCCTGTCCGACTCTGCAGCGAGTGCTGATTCTTTTGTAATATGCTCAAACACTGATTCAAACAATGCAAGGAGGCCGCTGAAGTTGCTTTTAACAGCAAAAAATTAGGATCGATGGATAACGAGACTCCCGACGATTCTATCGCTCGACACAAGGCCGAGTCCGCCTGCTCTGTTTGATGCAGCTGCGAACGCACCGAATTCAACGCGTCAAGGACTGCCAGATGCTCTTTCGGTGGCAGAGGGGGGCTCCCTGCGCTTATCGCCTTAAAAAAATATTGCGAACCAATAATAACAGAATTAACAAAATTACAATCAAAATTTGTTATATAGAGACTTGTGACATTCTCTAGCACTAACGTCAATGTCAGTTGACAGCCTGGATGACGTTTCATTCTTAAAAATTAAAATTTAAGTTTTCCGTGACGATTATATTGTCAATTTGTTCATAGAAATGAAATTTGGATCGTCATACCTTTTTTTCGTTGTGATCTTTATCGGCATGCTTGTCGCGCGTTATGATCAAACTCAATCTCCTTTTAATCTTCATTTCTAACAATAGAAATCAAACACGGATCGAGGGCGTATTCCTTTATACGCAAACGCTAGCCGCTTTTAAAAACATAAACACGACTAATTCCTTATCAAAAATATTTCAATTGAAACTACAACAGGCAGCCTCGCGGACAACAATACGTTCGTTGCGAGATAAGATTGGATACTATTTTTAACTATTGTTTAAATTGGAAATAATACCGTATATTTGTGCGTTTTATATAAAATTAAGGTAAATAAGCATGCAAAACAGGTTCACTGCGCAATATCCATGGAGAACCTCATAATTATTGCCACACATTTTTCAAGATCAACCGCTTCGCATTAGTTTATTAACATCCAGTGGCGTGCACTTTTTGTATAGATGTAAACGCTGCAAGTTGGGTTGTCTATTATTCTGAGGGCACTTTGAGTCAATCTGAAATCTGTCACATATTTGTTCTATTTGTATGAGTTCTATTTACTACGTACACTGTTTAATTATTATGACAAGTGCTCTCAGATAAAATAAACAAAAAAAAACTGCGAAAGATAAAAAAAATTCTCTTCATTTAATGTATTTTTATGTGAGGTAGAAAAAATTGCGGGAATTTAGTTTGTGAGGCCATAGATCGGAGACATATAGATACAAGAGATTTAGAGGCCCTGTTACATCATCAGCATTTTCTCAAAATATGCCTAGGTTTCGGTAAATGTTTCGTGAAAACGAGTGTATGGAAATCGATATTTCAAAAGAAAATGGCACAAAGTGAACATTAGTAGGAAGGGAAAATAATGCCGCCAGCGGCGCATTAATTTTTACTATAATTACAATGCCTTAACACAGTGGCGTAGAATTAATGTTGGTCATATTATTTATTTAAATGGCCTTGTTCTGTGATTTGTCAATTTTATTTTCCAAACTCACTTAACTTACAGCACAATAATAGGAGATATTTGTTCCATGGCTAATATTAATGATGACGTCATGAAAAAGAATGAATTTCATTGAACTCCGTTTGTGTGGTTAATATTAAGCTCCAAATAGGATTTAAATCAGCAATAAACCGCAATACAAACACCTAGTAATACTAACCTTTGTATGAGATTCCGCGACAGCTCTTAACATGTTAACCCATTCCTGCCTAGACTTTGCATCTGTAGCCCTTAATTTTATGATATCACCGGATGAACCATTTACTGTAAATGTTCGAGAATCCTCGTCACTGGGGCAAATTACAGCACCAGCCAAATGCATTGAACCTCTCGGCACCATGCTTTCCGGCTTCTCACCTTCGCATAGGTAATAATCCAAGAGTCCCGCATTTGCATCTACGTGAAAGAAACGATATTGCCATCCTTTAACTACATTTGTATATTTGTATAGCTGCCCGGAAAAATGTCTCTCCTTTGTGTGGAGATCCATAACAGACTAAAATTCGAAATAATTGCAACAGTTAAGCAACAAAAGCTTTTAGTAAATAACTAAGTAAAATGCTGTGATATACATTTTTGAAGACAAACTGACAGGAAATCTATGGTAAACCAGAAAATTTTAGTCAGCTAACCTCTATATTCTTATTATGCGTCATTAGATGCCAGCTTTGCTAAAATCCGATGAATAAACTAAACCCAAAAGAAAGCAAACTTGTGTTTTAATGAGAAAATGACAATTTTATCAGTCATTTCATAACCTCACCTTAAATCCGCTGGACGTATCGTTGGTTGCCTGCTTAGCACAGAAGGTACGTGGACCACTGAGATTAAATAGAGTGGAGTGCATAAAACTTAGATCACGAAAACTAGAATATGAATTTTGACGCAATAACCACGTTTCCAGTCACTGTCATTCGTGTAATCAAGAAAATCTGCGTCTTGCTGCTATTAAGTACAAATTAATTTTTAAACTCACACAAGATTGTAAATCCAGTCGTTTGTACCTCCATGGTTCACAAAAACACAACCTCACACTCAGGAAATATTACGATACAAAGTCGCATCTAAATAAAACGTTTAATTAAACTAACAAGGGCATCTATAAGTGCAATTCTACTAAAATGCTCAGTCACCAATCACAGGAGCCATCTAACCAACCATCTCTCCACCTTTCATTTACTTTGGTGCAGTCAAAAACATCCTTTCCTATTTTAACATTAACGTTGTTGTGTATTCTGCAGAGCCATTGACTAAGCGCTTCCTGCGATTCTACCCGAGGAGGTTCCACTTTTAGCCTACAAAATAAACTGTAACAAATAGTTATTTAATTGTTACTATGACATACTCTTCACGGAACTCTTTAGCACAATCATTGCATGGGTAAAATTTAGAAAAAACATTGAAAAAAGTCTTCATGTCGTTTTGCTGAGTAACGGTGGGTGTAATTGGATACTTTGCGGCCATGGTGTGTAAGAAGCTCCATGTTTTGTTTCCAAGCTCATCTTTATCCAAGGGACAGTCTGTTCTTCTTGTTTTCGATTCTTCTTCCACCTAATGAGACACACCAGACGACTGTCTTATGATCAGCGCCCCAGTAATAAAACTTACAGTCTGATTTGATCCACCGGTTGTTAGGTTGTGATCATCTTTTCCTTTCTTTTTTGTAGATTTCAGATAATCTGAGAAGCTGGAACATTGTCTGCACTGTTCATTCTCTAGAGGTGATGGACGCCTGTTCATCGTCTTCAAAATAATGCATAGTTTACGAAAAATTGTGAAATATTACCTAACCACGAAAATTTTGACATTCCTGAAAAACAATTTTTTTCATATATTTCGACTATAGTTAGGCCACTCGCAATACAGATCCCACAGTTTAAATTTTACGTCTAACAAATATTTTTTAACCATACTTCTGTCTTAGGTAAATTTAGATTTGTGAGGAAATCTTAAAAATGAATATATTACCAAAGAAAAGGTAAAATAAAATTTATTAAACAACTAATGATCTAACAATAATTCCATTTTAGATGGCACGTTCGGACGAAAGAGAACATAGCCAGAGTTCGTAGAGATGAAGCTCAAGCAGCAGAAGAGGAGAAAGTAAAACAAGAGAGAGCCAAGTTAGCTGTGAGCCCATTATTTTTTCTATTGACTATGTCTTGAAATTTTATGTTTTAGGAAAGAGAAGCAAGGCGTCAGTTATTATTACAGAAATCCCGAAGTCAATTATCGTCTAAGGAATGTATTACCATAAATACAGATAATACTCCCAGATCAACAAAATCCCATGAGCATGTCAATTTTTTTGAGGAACTCGAGGAAGGAAAGGCGGAATTGAAGCAAAGTAATAAAGAGTATGAAAAGGAGCAAAAAGAAGAGAAAGAAAAATATGAAAAGCAAATTGGATATTTGACCTACCTAGGACAAGATACAAATGAGGCTTTAGGTAAAAAAAGTTGGTATGAAGTTGCCCCAGATAGATCGTCGGGGAAGGCTGAAGTAAACATGAAGAGTAAATCCAGAGAAGATCCCCTTGCTGTCATGAAAAAGTACATAGAAATTGGAAAGGTGACAAGTGATAATCTTAAAGCTGTTCAAAAGATGTATGAATATAAGAAACTACTGAAAAGATCAAAGGAGGAGAGGCAAAAAAGTTCTGAAAGTGGAAAGTATCATCGAACAAAAAAACATAAAAAGAAGAAGCATAAAAAATATCAGGAAAGTAGTAATTTTTATGCAAACAGTGATGATGATGTCGCAGATGCTGGCAAAGGGACAGAAAAACAAAAAAAATTGGAGATTTTAAGGATGGAGAGATTAAAACGTGAAAAAGAAGAAAGGCTGAAAGCAGATAATCTCTTAGCAAAATTAAATGGAGAAAGTACAAACAGAGAAGAAAGGCCGAGACCCCATGTCAGACAAAAATACAATTCCCAATTTAATCCAGAACTAGCCAAACAAAATTACGATAATTGATCTTAGTTTGGCTGTGTCATTTAGCAACTCAATAACGTAGAAAATGTGTATTTAACATTTATCAAAATAATTTGTTTTAAATACTATGAAATTAAATGTGTAAATACTTTTGATTTTTCTCAATTTTACTGCTATTGTTGTTCTATAGAAGCGGAAAGCAGACACGAGATTAGAGGGATGGTTAGGTCACACCCACATAAGTGGGTGTGGCACAGGCTCGCTTTCAGATGGCGTTTTGAAGTTATGCGTAACCCAGTTAGCGTGAATATAATATATTCATTAATAGCGAAGAAATTGTTAATATTATTATATTATAAATTGTTTACACTTTCAATAAATTATATGCAACCAAAAAGTTGCCAGAATCTATTGTTGAGGTTATGTCTAACGAATAACATTCGCATAATAAAGGCGTGTTGAGGTTATGTGTAACCGAAAATCGACGTTTAACACCCGTAGCCACATAACAGACCCTACAAATCATGTTTCACAATAATTTGTTTTATAAATTTTCGATATAAACTTGCCAGAAAACGTTTTAAGGGGTTGCATATAGCGGTGATCTTGAACAGTTAGGATTTTTTTTATTATTAATTTTTGAACTGGCTAGAGGGCGCCTTGAGATACGTTACACTTCGGCGGCGTTTCAGACCAAAGAAAACTATTTTCTAACGTTCAACACGCAGCGCGATGCGTGAGAAGCGATTCGTGGCAATGCATCCAGGAACACCTAAAAAATTCGCTCCGCGATTTGGCAAGCGAGTAAGCGGTTTTAAATTTGCTGTGAAAAATCGTGCGAAAGAACACCACCGAAAAATTCATTTGTGGTCACCTGCAGCACTTTTACCTATTAGAACTAAAATTTTTATATATATTGTCAAATATGCTATAGATCAGACAGCAAATTACATGTCTATTTCATAGATAAACAGATAATGTATTTTTTTTTATTTTTTTTACAATTACAATTTTTTGCATAATTTCATGCATGTAGTTTAGTTCTTCAAAATTGCCTTCATTGTGATCCAATAAAATATTAAAACAAAAACTGATAAAAAAACTTGGGTCACCGCTCCGCTTTATGTTTATTGAGTCAAGCAGCAATAAAATCACCACCTCAATAGCCGTGATCGTCTAGTGGTTAGGACCCTACGTTGTGGCCGTAGTAACCCAGGTTCGAATCCTGGTCACGGCAATGTGCGAACATTGTCACGGTGGGGTGGTTTTTTTATAAGTTTTTTTCGCAAATATATATTTTTGTTAATAATTCCGAACATTTTGCAGCTTTGCACTGACACATATTTTTTAAATATAAAATTCTAGAAACGTCTAGTTCAAGAATCGCATTTTAATTTTTTATCAAATGTGCCTTTAAAAAATCAACAGTTATAAGTACATAAATAAGAATAATAATGAAATTATTCAATTAATTGTATTAATTGATATTTTAATTATTCAGTTCTTCGATATAAATATTGAAATGGCTAAATATCGTCTTGGGTTAATTTATCAATAATATATTTACAAGAGGCATACATAATTGAATTATTATTTATAGAATGTGCAATGTATAATGAATGTCCGGTTTCGTGTAATAATACTATAAATAAATTAGTATGATCATCAGGAGTTGCCTGATTTACCGAAAAAACAATTTTATGATTTATCAAAATGAATTCCTACACTTTCGTCATTCTTTGGGAAATAGTCATTGGATAAAACAGTTCCTTTCAAAACTAAATTCCTAGAACATACTCCTTGTTGACACAGTGAATTATGACTGTGTTGAAACAACGTCTAAAAAATTAAATAAATATGTGCGGTTCATTACTATTAGGTATAATCAAACTTCTCGATTAAATTAGGTTGAATTCAATTAATCATGAATAATACTGTGCTTACATTATGCAATTATGTTGTTATGTATTATGTTGTTATATGATTAGTAACCAATTATGATTGAGAGTTTGTGTATTTATGACAACAAAATTTGAGTTATATTCCCAGAAATTATGTAATTACGTTAAGGAATTATATTGACTCAGAATTTCGAAAATCTATTTGATCGAGACGAGACTCGCAGAAGTTACTACATTTAAAATAATTTGTACAATTTGTTTGTTTCTTATGAAAAGCAACTTGCAGTATTCAGACTGCTTTTCTTACTGCTATTGGCCAATATCATTAGGCTAATATCCTTCGATTGTTCAACGAATTGGATTTGGAACATAACCTTTCTAAACAAACAAATTTTTTAACGGAATTATTAAAAATAATTAACAATGAGGTAAATGTTTAGAATTATAGCAATGTATTGATTAATTTAAAAATTTTTAGGTTGAGTGTGGATGGTTTAATAGTATATTTTCCTTACGATTACATATATCCCGAACAGTATGCTTATATGTGTGAATTGAAAAAAGCGCTGGACGCAAAAGTGAGTTGGTTATTGTATTGAATTCTGGAATTTATATAAATTTTTTAGGGACACTGTCTACTTGAAATGCCTTCGGGTACAGGAAAAACCACAACTATCCTTTCATTAGTTGTTGCTTACATGTTGGAGCACCCGCACAATGTTCGGAAGTTAATATACTGTTCTCGAACTGTTCCAGAAATAGAAAAAGTAATGGAGGAGCTAAAAAAGCTTCTTAATTATTATGAAAAATTAGATGAGCAATATCCAAGTCTGGTAGGTCTTGTTTTATCATCAAGAAAGAATATGTGTGTTCATCCCGAGGTAAGATGAAAAGGCTAAATGTGGAACACCATCGAAAGTGGCAATTTTGTGTAGGTTAGTACAGCTAGGGAAGGAAAGATCGTAGATGCTAAGTGTCATGCCTTGACTGCCAGTTATGTGAGGGAAAGGCACGAGAGGGATGACACTGTTCCAGTGTGTCAATATTATGAAGGTTTTTCCCTAGATGGAAAAGAGAGTAATTTACCATATGGGGTGTACACTATAGATGATTTGAAACAATATGGAAAAGACAGAAACTGGTGTCCCTATTTCCTCGCGCGTTTTCACGTAAGTCCGCTTTGCCAATGCTTTCGTATTCATTCATAGTTCAATTTTTTAGATTATACACGCCAATATCGTAGTTTACAGCTATCACTATTTGCTAGATCCAAAAATAGCGGATGTGGTGTCCAAGGAAATGGCCAGACAATCTGTCGTGATTTTTGATGAAGCTCACAACATTGATAATGTTTGCATAGACTCGATGAGTGTCAAAATCCATAGGAGAACCATTGAAAGGGCCACCACAAATATAAATACTTTAAGCGGCATTGTTACAGAGTAAGTTGTCTGTCATTCAGTTTGGGGTTGCTTAATGTTGTCAAAAATTAGTATGAGACAAGACGATGAGAGAAAACTACAAGACGAGTACCAGAGACTAGTTGACGGGTTGAGGGACGCGGGGGTGGCCCGCGAAACGGATTTAATCCTATCAAACCCGATACTGCCCGATGAAATCTTGAAAGAAGCGGTACCTGGCAATATCCGTAATGCGGAACATTTTATTGCATTCTTGAAGCGGTTCGTGGAGTACCTCAAGACTAGATTGAGGGTGCAGCATGTTGTGCAAGAGTCTCCGGTCGGTTTCCTCAAGGACGTGCAGCAAAAAGTGTGCATTGAACGAAAACCTTTGCGGTTTTGCGCCGAACGATTGGCGTCCCTGTTGAAGACTTTGGAGATTACCGATCTGGGCGAATATTATCCGATTACATTGATAACTCACTTGGCAACTCTCGTTTCTACATATACGAAAGGTTTTACTATAATTGTAGAGCCGTTTGATGATAAAACTCCTACGGTTTCCAACCCAATATTGCATTTTAGTTGTTTAGATTCCTCAATAGCAATAAAACCCATATTCGACCGTTTTCAGACAGTGGTTATTACCTCGGGAACCTTATCGCCTCTAGATATGTATCCAAAAATTCTAGACTTTCATCCGGTGGTGATGGCATCGTTTACGATGACCTTGGCTCGACCTTGTCTTTTACCGATGGTATATGCGCCGTGTGATTGCGTACTCGGATTATTGGACTCTCGTCTTTGCAGATCGTCGCCAAAGGTAACGATCAGGTCGCCATATCATCAAAATTTGAAACCAGGGAAGATAACGCAGTCATTAGGAATTATGGGCAGCTCCTTGTGGAGGTAACGCGTTATAAATGTTGTTTTAAAATGGAACTATTTTTATAACTAACTGCAGCACATTCCTTTTAAACTTTGGGTGTCATTTTTCTTGCTTTCTTTGTTAAATTCGAAAATATCTCTTATAACTAGAGAGAAATTACACATTTATTACTCAAAACCAACTCAAAAAGTAAATTGAGGAAAATAGAAGTATGGCGACACTCCCTATGATTTTGCGTATTTTTTTTTGGTTTTAAGCAAGTAAAAATAAAAGTTTTGGCTCTTTTTCAATAAAAAAAAAGGTGTTAAATAACAATGAAGTGCGAAAAAAACTTGCGATAAAAAATTGAAAAAAAATCAGTGACACTGATGTTTATTGCCAAAAATGTAAAGGTTCTGTCACTAGAATAATTTACTACCATAAACTTGTTTTGAAATAGTTGGATAGAATTTTTAATCGCGAGTTTGTCACCAAAGTAACATTTTATTCGAACAGCATTATAAAAAAGAGCATTTTGGTATTTTTTCACAACACTTAGCAGGATGCAAAAATTATACTGGAAAACCTTAAATAACAGAAACAATATATACATATTTCTGAAGGGACCATAGCGGGACTGCAAAAAATTTTCAGATCGCCGCCAACGTGCCCGACGGCATAGTCTGTTTCTTCACATCCTACATGTATTTGGAGTCTGTAGTAGCGAGCTGGTACGATCAGGGCGTGATCGACAGCCTACAGCGGTACAAGCTGTTGTTTATAGAGACCCAAGATTCAGCTGAGACCAGCTTCGCCCTCATGTACTACATAAAGGCCTGCGAGTCGGGCAGGGGCGCCGTCCTGCTGTCCGTCGCCCGCGGAAAAGTCTCCGAGGGGGTTGATTTCGATCACCACCTGGGCCGGGCGGTGCTGATGTTTGGCATCCCGTACGTCTATACGCAATCGAGGATCCTCAAAGCTCGCCTGGAATACCTCAGGGATCAGTTTCAGGTAAGCGATCGAAAATTTAGACCCCGCCCACTTAAGATAAAGTTTCAGATGGTATTTTGAGGTTATGTGTAACCTTGTGAGCGTGAAACGTGGTTAGCCTTATAATACTAATAGTACTACTATTATATTTAATTTCTATATGAAGTTTTCGGGAGCGTTTTGAGGTTATGTGTAACCGGAAACCAACGTATGAGCTTTAACATAACTATACAACCGACCGAGCACCGTGACAGATCATGGTTTCAAAATATATTGTTTTCGTTTATAAATCGGTTTTGTGTCATTTTTGAGGTTTCCAGAAAGCGTTTTAAGGTTATATGTACCTGAGATGTCTGCCGCCATTAACTTAGAACTACGTAAACAACCGAGCTCTAATCGTTAGGATTTTTTTATTATTAATTGTTCAACTTAAATTCGCCACTGTGCGTTTTGAGATATCGTTACACATCGAACACGTTTCAGATCAAAGAAAACGATTTTCTAACGTTCGACGCGATGAGACACGCCGCGCAGTGCGTGGGGCGCGCGATACGCGGCAAAACCGATTACGGTATCATGATTTTCGGAGACAAACGCTTCGGCAGGGCCGACAAACGGTCGAAACTGCCGAAATGGATCCAGGAACATCTCAAGGATTCACTCTGCAACTTGTCGACCGAGGAAGCGGTGCAGGTGCGCCCCCTGTCGTCGCCGCCTACAACTATTTTAACTTTGGCATTTTCGCAGATCGCGAAACGTTGGTTGAGACAGATGGCGCAACCATTCACCAGGGAAGATCAGCTCGGCGTCTCGTTGCTGACACTCGAGCAGCTCCAGAAACTCGAACAGAAACGGCTCGAGGAACAACAAAACGACCAGATGCAAGAATAAATACCATTTATTTTTTATACAATTTAAAAATTACAAAAAAAAAAATTAAGTCTTGTTTCGTTAAGTTCAACCCGAAAATATGGGTATTTCGAATCCGGCCGGAATCGTAATACCGCCAGTATCGACCGGATCGTCTACCTGCTGCTCCGCGACGAAACAACCCTGCGTGTCGTCGTCAGTGTCAGGCTGGAATGATAAAGTCGACGGCATCGAATTAAAATTGTTTTACAAATGTCCATCGGAAGTAAAAAACATTCAAATGTCATCTGTTTAACCTCAACATTTATTTATATTACCTTGGATTCTCTGGCGTGTTGGTTAGGCGGGTGCGTTAAATGTCGATCTCCCGCACCTAAAAGCATATAGTTAACCTTTGGGGTGACCAAATTAGCCCTTCGTCACCATTGTTGACCACTTGGTGTGACTTCTTATGCAGCATGAAGAACGCTTCACTGATGGTCATGTAGGAACAACTGTCGCACTTGAAAGTACCGTCGCGTCCCGGATGCCTATTAATCAAGTGACTCTTGAGGGAAGAACTCTGAATACACGAGTAACTACAGTGCGGACAGGAATATTGTTTGGCCTAAAAAAGAAGTTTTCCAACTCAATCTATATCGGTCGACGCCACTTACGCCTATGTGCTTCATCATGTGCTTCCGGAGACAATTGTGATCGCCCGTTCTGTACGCACAGTAGAGACATTTGTGTGGTTTCGCGCCCGTGTGCTGCCGCAAGTGTAGCTGAAAGAGTACCGAGTGAAAACGATTGTAATCTACACTAAAGGAGGCGCGTACTTCCAACATGGCTTTCCTCGTCGTTTTATGGCCGCACACGTTGCATATGAACGGTTTAAAATTCTTATGGACGGACAGTACGTGCTGTTTGAGGCTTTTCGCGTTCGCGAACGACAACTCGCAGACGTTACATTTACGCGTCGTTGCCCACTGTGGCATCTGCAAATTTTGACCCTGAACCTAATCTCAAATCGTACCAAGAAAGACGTACGTTTTCCGGGCATCGGTTGTGGCTCGTTTCGTGATTTTTGAGTTGAGTTATTAATTTGAAGCGTTTCCCGCATTCCGCGCACATGAACGGCCTCTCATCTTGATGCGTTTTCATGTGTTTCATCACGGCAGCTAAAGTGATAAAGGACAACACACAAAATGACGCGAGTGTAAAATTGATAACGCAAATGACAAAACACAAAGTAATATGGAGATATATCGATAAAATCTTGTGTTTACAAATTTTTGTAGCCCCCACGACTCACACTTACCGGAATTGTACGATTTAAATTTGCTGCACATAGGACAAACGACGAGACCGAAATCTATCTGGTGCTCTTTAAACATATGGCTCTTTGCTATTCTCCAGATGCTGAACTTTTTATCGCACGACAGACATCTAAACTGGCTCTTTTTGTCGGCGATGTGGCACTGCTCGTGCTTCTCTCTAATCTCTTCGTCAGGGAAACCCGACGGGCAACCCGATACCCTACACTTTACCGCCTGCAGCGCCCTCTGTTGCTTCTTGACCAAAAACAAGGACAATTTTTTCAAAGCTTCGCGACCTTCACGGCCGCCATCGATTTCTCTCGCGTCTTCGATTGTTTGTTCCGGGTATTTTTCGTTGTGCACCTGAATTTTGGAATTATTTCGGATTCATAACTAATGTTTTTGTATATCTCTAAATAATAGCAAATAAAATTACGGGCTATTAAAACAAAAATTGTTTTTCACTACTATTGGCCAAGAGCTAGAAGGCCGTTGATAAATTATCAAGGTGATAATTTTTATATTCCGTCGATAGTTGCGAAATATTTTGAGGGTATGTTGAAAAAAAGCTTCTATCACAAAAAACCTGGTCAAAAAGCAAAATACAGTACCTCCAAGGAATGGCGTGTGAGATCCTCCTTTTCAGAAAAGACTTCCTCGCACGTGCTGCACATAAACACATGGTATTCGTCGGGTGGGTCCTTGGCGGTGTTGGATTTTAATTTTGCCTTTTTTAAAATAGATATTAAGCATTTTTGACTCATGCCGAAATTCTCAAAAGGTTCTAGCTTTTGTTTATCAGCTTTCGCTACGTCTCTTTCACTGAAAAACTGAAACGCACGAGTACAATTTCAAAATATTCAGCTAATTACAATGTTACTGCTTACATGTTCCGAATGAGCCTCTGAAATATGAATCATGATACCATCAATGGACTCACTCAAATATGAACACAGTTTGCATTTGTTTGCGACTGTTGTGGTGAAAAAATCTCTAATGCTCTTTTGGTGTTTTGGCACACCTGCAATGTTACATTCGGTCCCATTAACTGAGCTCAGAATTGACTTGTCAATAACTATGACACTTCCATCTGGATTCAGTAAGTGAATTGCCTGAGCCTCATTATTTATATCACCTTCAGTTAAGTATATTTCTTTCACTCCATTTGATTTTTCATTGACTATTGGGCTACAGTTTATGTATGCACTGTCATTTTCTACATTGGTGATAACATCAGATGATGATTCATTTTGTATCACATTTACATTGGAGACTTGGGCGTCACTATTATCTTCTGGGGTAACTACTCTTGTACCAATATCTAATACCCCACCTTGATTTTGACTTTGTAAAGTTGGTTCCTTCGAAAGTAGGACGTTTTTCTCAGCCTTTAAAGAATCATCAGATAGTAGTGGGTTGGGTAACAACGTAGAAAATCCTTCTGTGGGCCAATCGGCTGCATCAATATCCGTAAACATACGCTCGTCGGGGAACAAACCGTCTCCAGTATCACCCAATAAAAACCCATTCGGGGAATCCTCGTCGTCCAAATAATTTAAAAATGCTGTCGGTTCTTCATCTACATCCATTTCCTTTGGGGATTAGGGTATCAAAATAAAATTTTGACAAAAATTTTTAATGCTTTAATACCGTACTTATTTAACCAGTTTGAAAATCGCTTATTTCCAAACAGAAAGATTGTAATTATACCGAAGCCTATCTACATAACCTAGCATAACCGATAAATACTATTCTTCTTCTTTGTACATCATTGAAAGTGGAGAAAAAACATTCGGCCAATTTCGACAAAACCAAATATTCGTTAATCAAATCAAAAAATTTGTATCACAAATCGATATCTTTTATATCAAATATTATCCTCTTTATCCGCTATGATTAAATGCGCCTTTTATTTTAATTTGATAATTTTCTGTGCCAATATTTTCAATCTGAACACTTGCAATGTGGGCAGCACTTTTTTCGCAATTATTCGATCTTCAAATTTCAAAGTTAAGGTGATCAACGCGTTTTTCGAATAACGTCCGTCCTTTAATTCCGATACTTGTAATTCTCTATAATCTAGAAAATTAAGTCAGGCAAATAGAGAATTATTATTTTCAATAAGCTCAACTCAACTCTTCTTCTTTTCATGCGTCATCCAAAGAATAATTCGGCCAATCACGACCCTACCAAACATTCGTTCGTAAAAAAATTATAGAGCACATCTAAAAAATATTTTATTCAAATAAAGTACAGTTCGTATCACAAATAAGTTTCCCTCATACACAGTTCATTAATTGGAAAGCTTCACGATAATGAGATCACCATCTTGAACTGAGTAATAATCGATTTCTTTAATATCTTCCTCCAAGCAGATTTCTATATTATCGTCTTTATCAGCTATGATTAAATGAGGCCTTTCAGGTAACTTGAAAATTTTCTGTACCAATATTTTCAATTTTTGCACTTGCATCGTGGGCGACACTTTTTTCGCAATTGTTTGATCTTCAAATTTGAAAGTTAAGGTGATCAACGCGTTTTTCGAATGATGTCCGTCCTTTAATTCCGATACTTGTAATTCTCCATAACCTAAAAACTTAAGTTGTGCAACTGGAAATGAAAAAGTTTGGAGGACTATTACTTTCGATAAGCTCAAGGTATCGATTGTGTTCCAATAAAAATCTATTCCTTTCGGGTGTGTTTTTAACTTTTAGCCACTCCAACCCATATTTTTTCTGATAATCATACTCGGCCCCTCTGCGATCGTCTGGAGTAATTCTCCTCCCATTGCATATCTAAAAGATATCATAATAAGAATAATGACACATAACCATATCCCATACCTACTTTTAAAGTTTTTATCCGGGCAATGATTTCTTGCTCGCAAGAGATCGGATTTTTATTACTTAAAACCGGGTTATTTAGAAACTTAATTTCTTCAAGATTGGGGATTTTATTAAGCTCGCTCACGGATTTCCACTAGAATAGATGAGAAAGTTAAGCCAAAAATAAATTTCAGAGGGACATACCTACATCTGGGATGTTATTGTTGCTAATACATAACTTCCGTAGGTTTTTGAAATAACTAATTGTCTCGCTTTCAAAATCAATAGCTTCCAAGCCTATTTCACTCAAAGACAACTGCTGCAAACTCTCTACAGCCGACAACTTCACAACCTCACTCCAGCGGGGGATTTTATTGCCCTCCAAATCCAAAATCTCCAAATTTTTAAAGTTATTGTCTTCGGGGGTAGACAAATCATTTATATTATTGCTTGGAGCTCTAAGTTCACTAATATTGGGAAATATTTTTGACAGAGCTTTAATGTCATTCCATGTCAGATACATATGACCACAAATAAATACAGCTATGTTCGGAAATATGTTATTGCATATGTTGGGGAAGGTTAAAATGTTTTCACTGAAACAAGGGAATATAGTCGTGTAATAACAGCCATAAGCAACCAGCGACTATACCTAACATTTATCCAATAAAGATGTCGGAGCTGCGCGCATATATTGAAAATATCGCCCCAAGAGGTTAACAGATTTTTTGACAGGTCTATTTCTCTAATGTTTGGACATAAGGTTCCTAGTTCATATGACTCCCCTATAGAGCTCACACTTTGTAGGCGAGCACTAACAACCGTTAAAGACTCAAAATTGCTAAAACAGTTCTCACAATTTTCCAAATATTATATATGGGAAAGGTCAATTAAGAGGGGCACTCAGCTCAATCTGGAAAAGGCTTGGGGTGAAAATATTTAGGACTAAAGCGGTCATAACAAAATGCTGGAAATTATTTTTAAGTTTCTAAAATGGTCGCCAGAAGGTGTAATCATACTCTTGAATTTTAAATCTCGTTTTGTAAGAAATAATCTTGTATTACAGATAACTAAAATGAACACCATGTTAAAGTTGGAATAAATATGATTGACACTCAAACGCCACCATTATAATTACTAATATTATTTTGCAAATCACACTTAGATTTTCAAAATTTTGAATTTCATCTGGACCAGTGGGTAATATTCAATCATATTCAATGATAAAATAATTATTATTAACATTTTAAATAGTTTTTATATTGTAACTATACTTTATATTATATCTTTTGCTGCAATAAAAGTGATATTTTTGAGGAAATTAATTTTATTTATAGGGATGTTGCAAACGCCGTCTGGTAGTGATGCAAGCAAACTAAATCAATTTGTTCACTGCTGGGTTAATAACCTAAAAAGAGTCCTTTTCTGTCCATTCTAAAATTATTGATTTTGTTTCCAAAAATTTTGGAAACCGCTTTCTGTTAAGAATTTGAGTAAAAACCATTTAACGAAAAAGAATCGAATTTATCGCAACATTACAAGAGTGTTCATTTTAGCTATCTGTAATATGAGAATATTCTTTAAAAAACGACAAAATTGGATTTGAAATGCAAGAAGGCAATTACGCGCCCTGGAGGCCATTCTACAAATTTAAAAATAAGTTCCACCATTTGGGACCTTTTGTTATAAATATTTTCATCCCAAGTCTTTACAATAATTACTTTTTGAGATAGGACCAAGTGTTCTTAATTCCCTACTTACTAATTTACCTCTGTTTTGTGCTGACTTTATCGAATCCTACGAATTCTATAAACGGGGCTTTAATTGACTTTTGCAAACTGACAATCTGCTGCGCCTTAATTCTTTTTGAAATATCAGACTCTTGCCCACCATATCTCGTTACTATCGCTTCAATTAAAGACTTACCAAAATTGATTTTCTCTTTTCTAACAAAGGAACCGGATTGTGGATGACTAAAACGGAAACAAATACAAATATTTTGAGGCAATTAAATTGTTAACGTTTATGCACCCTGTTCTAAAATACTGAATCCCATTGACAGAGCCCCCGTGTTTTCCTCTATCTGGATCATCCCATTCGATACCATACCATACACCGGTCTGACCTTCCAGGGAGCCGACGTATCGTATCGTTCCAAAATAGCCTCCAATTTCAACGCGAGTGCCCGCTGCATGATCGAGAGACAAATTACCGTCCGAAACCATTTCGCTACGGATTTTTTTGTGAAAATCTTTCGAAAGAACACCGCCCCAAAATTCGTTTGTGTTCAACAATTTTACCTTTTAGAATTCATAAAATTATGCTGTTTTCGTCTCTTTTTTACGAAAATGCAAGCAGACGGTTGTTTATCACCTTCCCATTTTTATGGCATTTTACCCCGTATACATTGTCAAATATACCACAGATCAGAAAGTAAACAACATGTGTCTCTCACAGATAAACAGATAATGGTCACTCTCAATAATTTTTTTCATAAATGCATGCATGTTAAGTTTAGTTTTTCAAAATCGCCTTCATTATGATCTAAAAAAAACATTAAGATGAAAACTAATTGAAAAACTTGGGTCACCGCTCCGTTTTACGTTTATCGAACCAAGAACCAATAAAATCACGTCAATAAACGTAATCGTCTATTGGTTAGGACCCCACGTTGTAGCGGTAGTTCCAATGTTGATTAAGGCAATATGCCACGCGGAGGTAATTTTTTTCCCAAATACATATTTTTTGTTAATCATTCCGAACACTTTGCCGATTTACACAAACACATATTTTTTTAAATATAAAATTTTAGGAACGTCTAGTTCAAAAATTACGCTTTCCCCGTCATTTTCCTTTTAACAAAAAACAAATAAAAATTGCTGCAGTACCATTCTCAAATTAGGTAAAGTGAATTCAAAAATATAGACGGTTCCAAGTAACAGATAATCGACAAAAAAAATATCTGCCTCCGTGGCGCAATCGGCTAGCGCGTTCGGCTGTTAACCGAAAGGTTGGTGGTTCGAGCCCACCCGGGGGCGTAAGTTTTTTTGCTCATTCCGTTGCAAAGACATTTTCATGCGACATAGATGATAGCGGTGAAGTACAACAACGTAAAATAAATGTCCGCGCTTAAAGTTTGGCCTTCATTAGGTACTTCACCTGCGACACTGGGCACGGGTCGCCATCGCGACTCGCCCGAGACTGAGTCTGAACTGTCGGCGATCTAAGAGCATAAAGGAAATCAAGTTTTACCTTTGCTTACCTGACCCAAGAAGAACGGCAACTTATATCTGGCGGTTCGTTAGTCATCAACTTCGCTCATAATAATAGATGCTGGGCTTCTCAGTTCTCAGTGCACACGGTTTTATAGTCACTTTAATCGGTACGACTGGTGATGTTTTGTTTTGCTTTCTTCCTTAGATGTTCAGAATTGATAATTTTTAATTAAAAGGTAAGGTACTTTTCATTAACTTTAATATATAAATCATAAACGTTTCTGGTGGTTATATATTATGTAATTAAATAGTCTTTCGTATATACGTATTACCTATTTGTTATGAAAAAAAGATTATTTTAATTAAAAAAAAATGAAAAAGTTATTTTGGTTTCTAGGGTTTATGGTAGTGAAAGTACTAGATTGATTTTTTTGAACTTCGGTGTTTTTTTATATATCGTTTCGCAGCAAATTAAGATATAAAAAACAGGGTAATTTTCCTTTGTTTATTTGGTGCAGGAAAATCTAGCTCGCATTTTAAAAAAGGTCATAAAAATAGTAGTCTGTATAAAAAATTGATGTTTCAATAGGTAAAGTAGTTTACAACGAATAGATTTCAATGGGCTGTTTTTCAAACTCAACAAACTTCAACTAAAACTAAAACTAGACTCATTTTCCTAAAAAAATATGTTCTTTGGAAAATATGAGTTACAAGTTAAGACTAAGACTAAGACTAAAAAGTTAAATTCAACGTTGTTGTTGATATTTTGGTAAAATTACGGGTCTAATATCCGTAATGATATATATATATATATATATATATATATATATATATATATATATATATATATATATATATATATATATATATATATATATATATATATATATATATATATATATATATATATATATATATATATATATATATATATATATATATATATATATATATATATATATATATATATATATATCATTACGGATATTAGACGACAATCTCCAGACACCAAAAGCAATTGTGCTTGCGGTTGCTGAATACAAAAAGAATTGTACATTTTTTTTGCCAAGAGTGTTGCCTTGAGTGTTCTGTGTGACGCCACTGGAATTAATAATTTCAATCTAATTCCTGTGACTAAATGAGACATTATGAAATGATTAGAGTTATTGCAAATTCTACATTCATTATGTTAATCGTCCATTATTACAAGTCTATTTGGGCCAGGCCATAGAGGACATTTTTAAAAAACGCTCTGCTGGAGGTTGTTCATGAAAAGGAAAAATTTCGTAGTAAGTGTGTGTTAAATATTTTAAACAATGTTTTTTTTCACAATATTGTAGCTATTTTTTGCCAAATTTTATTGAAATTTGGCAAATATACTTTACTAGATTAAAATTGGGAAGTCCAGTGCCGTCCCGAGAAGTAGCCTAACGAATAGTATCGTCATAGAGACTGCTGACTACTGACTTTTTTTCAATTTTGGTTTTTATTTTGAATACGCCACCCAAACTACAAAATTTTTGATTCGGGTGTTGTTTTTGTGCCCCGAGCAGAAAAATAAAGAACATGCAAATTGACAGAACCCATTTTTATGAACATTAATTAATTGGACGTTTTGGTCACAAGTACAATTAGTTGTACAAAATTAACTCGAAATAAAATGTTGAAAATGAATACTTCGGTTTATATGAACTTTATTTGATGACGAATCTCCTATCGAGCGTTGGCACAAATAAAAAATATTACAAATCAATAAACGAAAGATATTTTAAGATATTTTATTTACTAAAATAAAAGAGAAAATAAATATTTTAGAAATCGTTTCTACAAGCCAATATTAGTTACATAATGGTATAATTTATTTATTTATAAAACATTTCCTACTGTTTACAGAATTCTTTTTTTTTTCTTTACTGTGATCCCTTTTTATTAGGATTTTTTTTTTTAATTCGGTGGTCGCATGACTATAATATTTTTATTGGTAGCCATCGCAAATGGGCTCTAGAGTCGGAGGTCTAAACACGGCCGGTCTTCCCGCAGACAAAGCTTTAGCGGGAGTGCCGCGACTTCTGGACGATCTCCAACGACTTTCCGAGGACTCCGAATCGGCGGACATCATCTTCATATTGGGGAGGGACGAAGAACGTGTGTACGCGCACAGGGTTATTCTGATGGCAAGGTTAGTCCTTACTGTACGTAGGGCTAATTAGCGATTAAAAGAGTGTAGGATCCCTTTGATTAGTTCCGCCAAACAAGGGGGGCGGCTCATCGCGACTAAAGAGCTTCGTAATAAGACAAAGGGCCACTCTCCGCGCAAGGAAGCTAATGAAAAACGTATCTTTCTCTTAAAAGCTCAGGCTTCGGAGGAATTAATTTTCTAGGGGGCGGCACTTACTTTGTAACAGAGTATCCTCGTATGCAATAGATAATATACTTGCTCGGAAAAAGCGACGGAGGGGGGACACTTGCGCAAGCGGTCAGGTGCGGGTGTAATGAGCATACTGGGTGTGCGCAAAGTATGTACAAAAAAATTGGTAATATATATAATAAATGAAACCACAGAATCTGACGTCTATTGTGTAGGTGTAATTCGTATACGGGGTGTAGTTCGGTTTGATGCGACGGTGCGTGTGTAAAAAACTTTTCATTTATTTTATTATTTATCTATATTAATTATTATTTATTCTGAATGAAAAAAAAGTTGATTTAATTGATCAATTAATTAAAGTTTTAAATTTAACTCTACTCATGTACCGTGCGTTCAACTTATCTTGATAACATTTTGATTGGTTGTAACTTTTTTGTTTTTAGATATATCAAGGCAAACAAAAAAACAAAATGTAGGGTTAGTAGCCAAGTTTTTTTCCAGGTAACGTATAAAATAAAACACTATCAATTTTCTGACATATAAGCCTACTTCATATTTTTTAAAATATATAATAGTATATTATGCAACAAGTGCGGTAAACAGCATTTGACTCACGAGTTTATTGTTTAAAAAACGAGTGACTTAAAAAGTTTACCAAACGTGTTGCATACTATACTTTTTCTACGATCGTTAGTTTTTGGGTACATTTTTGCAAAACAACACGAATACATTCACTAACATGACCGTCAGAATTGACAAATGTCAAAATTCAAAGCGCTGGAAATATCTCCGAAAACATCCGATTGCTTCCAAACCATTGCGGTAAAATCCCGGAAATGTCCGAAGTGTCTCGGATGCGTGGGAAACGAAACTGACATAGTAAAGTGACCTTTCCCGCACGCTAGATCGGTGTGTAATTAGTTATTTTACAGACAGGAGTAGAAAAATATGATATGTGTTTATTTATATTTTATATTTTAGTCCATTCGTTTTTGACAAATCGGCAAATATAGGAAATTTTTATGTAATTTCGATCAGTGCTCTGACTGCCAAATACGAATATGTTTATGTTTGACGTATTAGTAAACAACGTTGATGGTTGAATTATTGTCCAAGTCGTTATTGTTAATATGGTTTTTCGCGAATGTAGCATCCGCAAAAGATCTGATTTGCTTCAAATATACTTTCTGAATAATGAAAGTGTAACCGCAGCTCGTCAGTATATTAATTAGACTTTATCCAAAGCGCCGAGCTCCTTCAATTTCCAAGGTTGGCAAAGAAATTTGCAGAAAACGGTAACTTATTAATTGCTTGAAAGGCACACCAGAATCATAATGTTTTAAATGAAGAAAATAAGAAAAACATATTAGGATTCTATGAAGCAAATCCAGATTCTTCTATTACTAGGGTATATGAAGAGACAGGTATTTCTCGGGGATCAATCCACTCAGTTTTGATAGAATATAAATATAATGTATTTAAATTTCGTAAAACTCAAAAACTAAGTGCAGAATAATGTCAAAGGAGAATGCAGTTTTGTTTGGATTTTTTAAATAGACATGAGAATAATAATTTTTTGAAAAACATTTTATGGACTGATGAAAGTTCGTTCACTACAAGAAAGGGTTGTAATAGACAAAATACGCGACATTGGTCTTTAAAAAATCCTAGACAAATACACGAAAGAATTTTTTACTTTACTGTCTCTTGTCATTTTTAGTGTTTTTGTTATACTTTAATTTGTAAATAATTATTGTTATTGCGTCAGTCACGGCCCTCTTTGAAATTATATAAAAATATTCTATTTTTGCCGATTTGTCAAAAGTTTGTTACCTCATTGTAATCGGAATAAGATATTTTATTAAACACGTATATAATATACGAGGTGTTCCATTAAAAAAAAATGATGTAGGCGTATAGGTCAGAAAATTGATAGTGTTTTGTTTTATACGTCACTTGGAAAAAAATTGGCTACTAACCCTACATTTTGTTTTTTGTTTACCTCGTTATCTCTAAAAAAAAGTTACAGATAATTAAAATGTTATCAAGATAAATTGAACGCACGGTACTTAATTAAATCGATAAAATTTTTGACATAATTTGAAGCATTAAAATCATTTTTACTTTGAACTCGGTATTTTGTTATTGATTTTCACTTCTATGTAGTTTAATATGTCTAGCATTGAACATTTTTTAGCAGCCATATACACAGAGCGATGATCGATTTATATTACGGTAGGGATTTCTTATATTTTTATATATTTGCTATAAGCTCTTTTTAAAGACTTCTAGTGTATTAAGATGCGTTAAGCCTTTTTGGAGATATTTATATTTAATTCCGAAAAGGCCCCTTACTACTTTCCGTTTAGAGGAAAGATCATTAAACAAAAAGGTTTGGATTTGTATCAGTTTTAAAACAGTACCTACTCGATCTCTGACTATCGTTGTAACATTTGCGCAGCAAAACAGATTTTAAAAATCGAGAAGCAAATTGTTATTTGTTTTTTCCACAGGGGGCATTATAGTGGCTATAAAATGAACTAATGAATAACTTTTAATTTTTTCATAATTTTCTATTTTTATCGTACCGCAGGCTCATATTTCTGCCGACGTAGCCCCCTGTTCCGAGTCACTTATTTCGTCTACCAACACTGGCAATAATGCCTGTGGCAATGTGCTGTATGCATTTACCCCGTGACATTAAAAAAACTCAAACCCCCGGCTTCAATATCCTCACCGAGCTTTTAGAGGGCCCTCCAAAGCTCGAAATTACGTACGTGTACGCGCATTCGACATGCTACAAACACAGATACTATATACGTATGGCGTCCCCATTCACTCCTCTTTGGAAGACCGCGGAGAAAGCAGCGCGGCATTTCCATTAGGCGCTGTCAATAGGCTTTTCCTTTGTGAAGAGCCGCCTTTCACGTACCTACATATATATTGCACGTGCAGCTTTTCAGTTTAAACGGGGACTACAGGTTAAATACGAATAAAATTAGCCCGCAAAAGAGGGGGTAGCAAATCACACCCAATTGTAACCCGCCGTACTCCCTATAATCAATAATTGACGACCGGGAAATGACGATTTTGCAGATGCAAAAGTTTCCAAACCGCCAAAAGGAGCGAAGTGTGCAGAATACCGGGATGCACCGTCTCACCTACCGCCCCCGGGACGCCCACCCCTGTTAGACTGCCGCAAGCTCCTCCAGACACGTTCAAGCAATTCTTACTTTACGTATATACCGGGAAGGTACCACTTCCACGTTTACTGTCAATATTTGAATAGATAATCGACATTATTCCCGTTAGATTTTGCTGCAAGACAGCAGCGTTTTCGAGATGATGGCTCTGGCTCAAGAATTGGGAGTCGATGAACTTAGAAACGCGTGCGAAGACCACCTGACTTCTACCTTGTCGGTGCCGTCGGCGTGCACCTTTCTTGCCATGGCGATGGATATTCAGGACAGATCGGCCGGTGGGTATTTTGTATATCTCCAATATTTTTTAAAATCAGTTTTTTACCCGTTACGTGGGAAAGCAACGCTAATAGGAATAAAATTGACAACGTGCGATGGTGGTGTAATGGTCAGCATAGTTGCCTTCCAAGCAGTTGATCCGGGTTCGATTCCCGGCCATCGCATAATTTTTTTTCATTTTTTTCAACTTTCCGAGGATATTTAATTTGTGGTTGTAACTGTTATTTTGAGAAATTTGGTGAACAAGGGTTTTACTCATAGAACATGGGAGTTACGATCCTGGTGACGGATCAATAAATCAGTTGTCTCAACATTTTAAATTCCCAGCTCATTTGCAAAAAACTTACCGACGTCTTTCTTCATTAAATATTTTTTCAAACAAAGACTGGTGAAATACAGAATAATTCCAAAATTAATCTGCATTTTTCAATGAACGTTCTGTGTTCTGTTTAATGCGCCCCAATGTAAAGAAGAAGAAGGAACACAGACCCACGGATTGCTAGTGGTATTCTGTGATAGACCCAATGACGCGTTTGTAGCCATTTTATTAACCTTAAATATCTTGTTTGCCGAAGCGGCTTGGTTTTTAAAGAAATTATCGAAAATGGCATACAAACCGCAAAAAGTGCAAAAGGTAATGGTCCAACCGATCAACCTGATTTTCCGTTACCTGCAAAATCGATCACGAGTGCAAGTTTGGCTCTACGAAAACATCCGGCTAAGAATCGAGGGCCACATCGTTGGGTTCGACGAGTACATGAACCTGGTGCTGGACGACGCCGAAGAATACTATGTGAAGACAAAAAACAGGCGTCCGTTGGGCAGAATAATGCTAAAAGGGGATAATATTACTCTTATACAGAATGTTAAACCCGAGTCTGGTGGCGGAAATTAACCTCTAGTTGCGCTATTTTTTAAGTGATAATGTTAAGTTGTATTTTGTATGGCGATTAATAGACTAGGAATAAATCACTTTGATGACACTTGTTGTCTTATTGGTAGTGGCGATTGAAATAATCTTTGCACGAGCAGTTTTGGATTTTATTTTATCTAGGTGGAAAAGTAACTGCCGGATTCATAGAACGCTGCATTTCGTACATAGGAGAGAACGCGATCGAGTGCGTACGAACCAATTCATTTTTATCGTTGCCTAAGGAAGCAATCATTAAGCTCATTTCATCTGATTTTGTAAGAAAGTTGAGTCAAAATATTGCAGTCTATGTACATATTAACTTTTTAGCTATGCTTAGCGGAGGAGGATGTGTGGAGGGCTGTTTTGAACTGGGCAAAGTATCAAGCTGGAGTCACCCAACCTACAGCACACTGGACTGAAGAGGAACGAGTTCGGGTGTGCCAGCAGTTGTCTTATGTTATAAATCATGTTCGATTACTATTGATAGGTAACTTTTGTCACACCCTATGCCAATTAAATGATAACTCATAAATTGTCTCCTGTAAAGATTCCCAGGTTTTTGCTGAAGAAGTGGAACCTACCGGAGCAGTGCCTATGGAACTAAGCCTTGAACGCTACAGGCATGCTGCTTTACCTAGCAAATGCCCAGAATCATCAGATGATCAGAGACTAAGGCCAAGAGTATCGCCACAACTATTTCCGGGTTCTATGATTTTGGGTAATTTTTTTTTGCAAAGGACATAGTTGTAGACATATAACAACCCATTTTTGAAGGGCAAGACAAGAGTCATTTTCAACGGATATTAAACGCGTGGTATGGTCATCCCAAACAGACCTGGAGACTCATTTACAGAGCGAGCAGTCATGGTTACTCAGCTTCTGCTTTTCATAGACATTGTGATGGGATTTCACCGGTTTATGTTATAGTGATGGTAATTTTTCTCTAACAAAAAAGACTTGCGTTTTAATCGCTTGCTTAGGGCGTACGTGGTGAAATATGCGGAGGCTTCAGTGACGTGGCATGGATAAAGCCGCCTGGCAGGGGTCAGTACATATCGACCGACAAATCTTTCTTGTTCACCCTGTACAACCATCAAGATGTACCGCCGACACAATTTCATGTGGCTAGGAGATCATTTGCTATTTGCTACCACTCGGAGTACTCATGTGTAATTTGGCAAGTTGCTTTTTTGAATTAATGCGATGTTTTCGTAGCTATGGTCCCATATTTGGCGCAGGCGCAGACTTATTAATATCCAACAACTGTAACAGCAATATGGATAGCTATTCCAATATGCCTCACAGTTATGAAGGCGACGGGGCTTCCTCTTCAATTCTAATGGGAGACTATAATTTTGCTGTGGCCGATTACGAAGTTTTCACTCCAGCTGGGAGTTCCAGCAAGTTTCCCAAAGGAGAACGATATCAATAAAATGTTTTGCGATAATTAAAGAATGATTAATAAAATACTTTTACTTTTTTTGTAAATTGCAAAATTAACTCTGTGTAAAGTTAAAATCCAATGGAAAGAAAGAAGAAGAAGGAGCAGATAACCTACAATTAGCTAAGGATATTTATCCAAATTTTATTAACAGTATTTAAAAAGATACAATGCCCAGATCTAAATCTCGACACAGAGACAAGTCGGAAGCAAAATTACACCGCAGAAGTAAGCACAGGGTAGTGAGCAGTTCGCCTGAAGAATCGCGATCTTCCAAACGTTCAGAAAAATCAAGCAGAACGCGCTCAGATTTAACTAAGCAATCTAGAACGCACTCGAACGAAAGGTACAGCAGACGTAGCAATCGCTCGAAACAAAGTAAGCGCAAGTATGATTCCGATAGCGACAGTGAATCATCGACAAGTAGTTCTAGTAGTTCGTCCTCAGATGATTCAGTTAAGCTGCTAGAAAAGCTGAAGGAGGAGCGTATTAAAACAGTAGAAGCTAAACGAAAACAGAAAGAACTTCTAAAAGCGACTGAAACACCCGAAGAAAAGCGTCTGAGGCGTCTGAAGAAAAAAGAGGAGAAAGAAAGGAAGCGGAAGGAAAGAATGGGGTGGGATAACGAGTATCTTCATTACACAAATAGCGATAATCCGTTTGGTGACGGCAACTTGCTCTCTTCCTTCGTTTGGAATAAAAAATTGCAAAAGGAAGGATTAACGCATGCCACTCATGAGGAGTTGGAAGCACGAAATCGGTTTAAACAAGAAGAGAACAAACGCGAGCTGGAAAAAGTGAAAAAAAGACGACTGGAACGTGAATTAGAACGCCAGAAAAGGGACGAAGAGAACCAATTGCTGCAGAGAAGTAAAGAAGCGGCCCAGTTTGAAGAATGGGAACGTCAAGAGGACCAGTTTCATTTAGAACAAGCCCGGCTACGATCTCATATCAGAATACAAGATGGAAGGGCAAAGCCTATAGATCTTCTAGCAAAGTATATAAGCGCAGAAGAGGAAGTAGATGCTGTGGAAATGCATGAACCATACACATATCTCAATGGACTGCAGATAAATGATTTGGAAGATCTTCTCGAGGACATTAAGGTATACAAGGAACTAGAACGGGGCAGGAATTTGGATTACTGGAATGATATAACTGTAATTGTTGAAGATGAGCTTCAAAAATTGAGAAAGCTTCAGAAACAAAATGAATTTGATATGGGCGCTAATCGTCGAGAGGGGATCAACCAAGCTGTAGCTCAGGATGTTACCGCTGTGTTTAAAGGTAAAACGGCGGCTCAGCTAGCATCCTTACAAAAGCAGATTGAAAGCAAAATTAACGGCAAAGCTGATGGTATCGATATAGGTTATTGGGAGTCATTGCTATCGCAGCTCAAAGCCCACATGGCCAGAGCTCGATTGCGCGACAGACATCAGGAGAGTTTGAAAAGAAAATTGGAGGTTTTAAAAGCCGAACAGGCAGTGAGTCTTCCTACGCAAGAAACAGAAGAGAAAGCTGGCATTTCCCAGGATTCCAGTGATGAAAAAGATAGTGAAGCTGATGTTCAGGAAGAAGAAGTTGCTAATGATATATTAAATGAGTGTTTCAATGCATATCAAGGTGGCGGCTATAGTCCTAAATTGCTTACTCCTGAGCAAATTGAGCCCGGAACCATTGTTGTCAGTGAAGAAGATGATTTAAAGAGGTTAGAATTTGCCAGACTGCAAGTTACAGATAAAGGCAAGAAAGTGGAAAATGTTATAACCAAGGAAGAGTTGTTGTTGCAAAAAGAAGCCAGGAAAGGTATGGGGGAGGACGAAGCGCAGTTCTCTGTTGAACAGGCTTTGGACAGCCAGGTTTATCTGTGGTCCGATAAGTACCGACCCAGAAAACCCAGATACTTCAACAGAGTGCATACAGGATTCGAGTGGAACAAATATAATCAGACTCATTACGATATGGATAACCCTCCCCCAAAAATAGTGCAAGGTTACAAGTTTAATATATTTTATCCAGATTTGATAGATAAGAACTGCACACCAGAGTATTTTTTGACTCCATGCCCGGATAACAGAGAATTTTCAATATTAAAATTCCACGCCGGACCGCCGTACGAGGATATAGCTTTTAAGATCGTGAATCGGGAGTGGGAGTATTCCTATAAACGTGGATTCAGATGTCAGTTTCACAATAATATTTTCCAGTTGTGGTTTCATTTTAAGAGATACAGATATAGGAGATAGTTTTGTATGTTTACAGTATATCTGGTGCAAAATATATTTAGTTAAGTAAATTATTGGAGAAGTTTTTTTTGGTTGATTCGAAAACTGAGGTGTGCTAGAAGTGCTATGTAATGCAGAAAAAAAAATTGCAAAATTCGGAAATATACATTGTGAAACAAAACGTTGAAGAAAAATAATAAGGTATTATAAGTAACGTACATATTGATGTGCACCTACACGTAAAACTACTTGTAATTAACACGAATGGTATACCCACAAAATTTAAATGGCAATCATTCTACTCCTTCTAAATATTTGGCTTTTCACCTATTACTTTCGGTGGCCACGGCAATTAAAACAGACCAGGGCCGTTACAATTACAATAAGCCATCAATTAATTGTAGTTAGCTTTGCTGCAAGAGAAAAACAATACACAGAAGAGAGAAAAATTTCCCGATTCGTTCCGTTTTAAAAGTCGCATTTCGCGTCTTCTCTCGAAATCGAAATTATTACACTCCTTTTTGCCGGAAAACTCGTCAAAGAGGGAATAAAATCGACTAGGGGTGGCGGGTGCATCGAAGGGCGACCTCGAGGGTGGCAAAAGAGATGTTGATTGCCAATTTATTTGCCCTGCGGGCGCTTGATTTCTATCGGTCCGTTTTATACATACAAACCGTTATTACCGGAATGTTACTTATTTTACGATCTATTGAGTGTTTTAATTGTTTTCGTTGATTTGAAAGTCAAAATTGTTTTCTGCGTTTGAAGAGCAGAAGGCACGCAATTAGTATTTCTTGATTAATGTCGGAAGTTGTTGAATTTAATACTACTGATTAATAGAAACACTTATGTAAAAAATCGGAGACCAACGTTGGTATGCGCATACGGGCGTCATTTCAATCTCCTCGATTAACATGGCTGTTGACAACTCTGGCTGTCAGTTTGCGACATACTTTGGCTACGGTATTTTTAAAAAATATGATTAGGCTTCCTTAAGTCAAAATGAACAAGGTGAATTAAAACAAAATGGAGACATTATCGTGCTTTCGTGAAAATCGATCGATTACCTAGTCCGCGGTAAATTCTTTATCTACCTTTAAATTCGAATTTCCTCTGCTGCTGAGAGAGGGGGTAAGTATTTCACCCGATCGCCGTGCTCTATAGTCTGGCCAATTTACGTATATTTCGACAATAATTAGACCCTTAATTTGCCTGTACCGGTTTAAGTTCCTGAGCATGCTTCGTTATCAATGGAAATATATTTTGATTAAATCCGTGGGGAGAGCCAATTTGAATTGTAAAAGGAGGTAAACCCAAATCGATACGGGGAATTACGGAAGCTTAACTATGTGTATACCGGGTGTCGAACAATTAACCTGTCATATTTTCTTTGTTATTACAATAATTTTGACAGCCGACAGAATATATTTTGACATCCGACAATTAAGTCATTTATTTATATATAAACAGTTAACCCAACTTTATATTTTTTTATCAGTGTGGAAGAAACCATTCCGAATCAAACGCTCGGAAATGCGTAGGCAACAACGCGATTTAAACTTCCCAGCGAACAATTCCTTTTGTAGGTATTGCCGCCTTTCGAGGCGAGAAAGCTTTGTAAAGTTTCAGCGAACGTTTCGATCAGAATCGTGCGTATTGTTCGCATATTTGTCGCATTGTTTGTATTTCGTCATCGGACCTGAAATACTGATTTCATTATGTTTTAAGGCGACGCCAAACAGGCGATGGACTGTCCGCCACAATGACGGATTTTACGTCCCGCGATGGGATTTATTTGTGAGCGATATCAAAAAGTGTTTAATTAGAATAATTTAATCTACATATCAAAACTATTACTTTTCATTCTTCAAATCAATTTTCTATCATCTTACCAATTCACCATAGGACTACAATTTAGTTCAAGAAATCGTTTTTGAAATAAAGAAAAATTTATTGAAAACGGTGAAGAGATTTTCGCCTAGATCAATGTGATGAAATGAGTAGGTTCAGACATGAAATGAAAGGGTTCCCAAATTCCAGAAAATACAAATTCATTAAGTACACATGTGTGACATCTGAAATAAATTCGGCTTAATTGTTAGTCCATTTTTATTTTATTTTTTTGAAACTTAAGGAAAAATGAGTTAATTCAAAAGAAGTGACAGAAACGACAGAAACGACAGGTGTCACGTGATTAGGCTGACCAACGTCGAGACGAAGCGTGACGGTGGGGCGATGCACCACTGAGTGAGATTAATATTACGGCTAACCATATAGCCGTGGATACATATGATCCGTTGTTAACGTTAAATGTCGGGATCAGGTGCGTCAGCGTTTCGCGGTTGCATCAACCAAGATGCCAGATTAACGTTCACAACCGCAGTTTATTGGGGGTTACGTACGCGTCGACGTCACTGACAGCAGCATGGAAAGACATGCGGTCCAGCTACTACAGTATAACTGTCAAGAGTTGTCGTCTGTTTTCGATTTACAACAAATATAATTCGTTTCAACTAAAAATTCTTGAACAAAATTAAAATATGTTTTTCGGAAAATGCAAAAATTGCGTCCATATTATATTTCGGACGACTGAAAGGTTATGTTAAAGTTCAGATAAATTGCAATGCAATTCGGTTTTTCAGTTTTTAAGACCTACACACCTCGAATAGTTCCTAAATTAGGGACATACTAATTTTCACACAATATATCAGTTTGGTGAATGAAAGTAATGCGACAGCAGCGTCACTATAGGTACTTTGTTGGAATAATAAATATAATAATTATTTTATATGATTATTGTTATAGAGATGGGCAGATAATTGACATATTCATTATTCTATGATCAAAAAAATGAAAATTGATATAAACGTAAGAATAATGTGAAAATAGATAAATTGTAATAAATATTATTATTTAAAAACATTACAATTACAATACAACTTCCATTTGTAAATTTTAATCATTATATTCCGAGTAGTCAGAACTATAGTGGTTGGAGTTGGAGAGAAATAATAAGGTGCTCTAGAGTGTTTTATAGCATGTTTGCCACATTGTTTCTTCTATTAGAATCACATGTTCGACGCACTTCTTGAATTTTTCACAATCCGTAGTCTTTGTTCCCTCTTTCAAGAAGGTTTCAACGTCCCTCATTTTAAAACTGAGCTTTGAACGCATCGAGAATAATAATTTCTTCATTGTTAGAAAGCGCAGTTTGGCTAATCCGTTTCTCAGGGATAAATTCAGAAACGCTAGCCACTTTCAAGAAGGAACTTTGCCAACAACTGCTGGAAAGTACTTACGTGTCCGTCTACCTGCCACTCTCGCAAGCATTGACAATCATCATAGGAGCAATACGATGCCTATGGGATACGGCAAAGACCACTAGTTTTACAGTTCAATAATAATTTATAAGTCTCTCACATTTCGAAACAAAGAATAGTTATTTAGTTAGTTAGCGGTCTTGAAATATTTTTGTTACCTGTTTTAAACACTTCTCCAACTTGACCAACACCGTATCGTTGTCTAGGAGGTCGAGATGGGAGCGGAGATGAACGAAATCAGTCGTATTCAGTGGCAGATACACCGAAATAACATTATGGCGTGCGGGAGGAATTATTTTCCTCGATTGGGTGTTGGTCCGCCCCGAATCGGCAATATCGAGGTATTAGTCATAGTTTGCCGAGTCTACTTTGCCGATCTTGAGAGGGTGGTCACGTGTCTGACGGTAATATGACCTGATACGTCGTCCCCGGAGGGCTGGGGTCGCCCTTGAAGTTTGTCTTGCAACCTACTGAATATAAATTAAAAACGTTGCGAGTTCGGGTGGAGAATGCCGCATTTCGTGGAGAAAAAATTCAGCCCACCATCAGACCTTTTCGAATAACCGCGAAACTTTGAAAAAGCCCCAATTAAATTTTTTCAAAATGTATATTTGTAAACTCAATTTGTTGAAATTTACCGCACCTTATTTAATTTATTGTTGATTCGGATCCTACATAAAATTCTAAGTAAAATTTGTTGACATCTCCCCACGCCTATAATAATCTGAAGTTTATTTTCGGTAATAAACAAATGAAATGAACATTCGTAAAAAAAGTTATGTTACCAATTCTATACTTTACATCCGAAACAGATTATTATTTTATATTGATGGACGCACTATGCGGGATGGTTACTTTTGAAGTATTTCTCACTTCAAAAGAAGATTCAGACAAACACTTCGCACATTTCCGGTGCTTTAGTCATGAGTTTGGGTTTTCTTGGCGAATCATATCCATCCCGTAGGGTAACAAGGAGACAACTTTTGAAGTTGTCGTCGCGTACGTGTACTCACTAGGCTGGGTTTAAAGCTAAATGTTCTGGGCAGGAGGAAGCACAGTGAGCCTGCTGAAGCCTAAGTGCAGTGGTGTAGATTTGATAAATAAGGATGATTCCTTCACTAGCAGATACAGGATATAATAATAACTCCTTATATAAAACAAGCCATTATATGAAAGTAGAGGAGTAAGAGAAATATAGTAGCAAATTTCATGGCAATTAAGTGAGTAGGTCTGTATAATTGAAAAGCGGGAGATCAAATTAAAATATTAACGACATTGACATTAACAGATTCTTCTTTGCATAAACACATAAGTTGGAAGCATTTCTTCCAATGAAATAAGTATGTTTTTCTTAGGAGATTGCCTATAATAGTTTATTATGCAGCAAGTTTAGTAAATTGAACTTTAGTCACGATTTTGATTTTTCATCGAAGCTTGCGTTTGTGAAACAAATGACTAAAGAAGTTTATAAACACTTATGACCATTAGTTTTTGAGTAAATTTTTGCAAAACTGCATCAATGAGATTGATATATAACATGACTATCTTCCAAACCCGTAACTGAAGTACCGGAAATGTATGAAGTGGCTCGCCACCGTGGGTAGCGAAGTTGACATCTTAAAGTGATACTTCACACGCGTTCCGTTTGTTCTTTTTGTCCGAATCTTCTTTTGAAGTGCGTCAGTTTTTCTTAAATTTAAGAGTTCCCACATGAGAGGTTA